GAACCATGTCCTAGCTACTCAGGAGACTGGGGTGAGAATATCACTCGAGCCCAGGAGTTCAAGGCTATAGTGTGCCATGATTGCACCTGTGTATAGGTACTGCACTCCAGCCTGGGAAACATAGCAAGACACTATCTTTAAAATTATAATAAATAAACTAAAAGGATTAAGAGAATCTACACTCACTTTTTCTCAAATTCTGGTTCACAAATAGTAGAGAGAATAGAAGAACAGTGGATATCTAGATAGGGGTATTTTTTCTCCAGTGAATTCTGTTGTCAGTCAAGATGGTAGTATCTACAGCCACCATCTTAAACTGACATGTGATGTGCTCCAGGATCTCTTTAGAATGAAACTGATGGAAAATAACCTGTCAGTATTACACAGGAAGTGGCAAAGCTAAAGTGTAACAGTTAGGAAGTGATCCATTCCGATTCTCTTGCTATCAGTGCAAGATCTGAATGAAGAAAAGAAATGGGCAAAGTGATAGGAGCAGTAACAATGAATAAAAGTTGCAAAGCCTTAGGCCGTTTGCCATTTAACTCAGATAGCTAGCATAATTTATATGAAATATGAGTTATATCAATAAATAATATTTCATGATAAAGTATTTTAGCTTTATTTTTGTGGTCTATACTTCAAGTGTTTAGCAGTACTCAACTTTTGCTATCTTAATTCCTTAGTGTGGTTAGTCAGCTGGAAGTTCAAAAACATGCAAACATTATCAGGAAATCATAAAGATGTTTCTGTCCTCTTTAACGCTACATATATGTTCTCATTTGCATGCTCATTTGATTGGCTACTTAAAAATTAATGAAAGCAAAGTTATTAACTAAAAAGCTATGAATTAGGATGGCTGAAGAGAGAAAATTATATTTATATGGCTTTTGAAATTGTCAAAGGGCTTTAGAGCCTTGTAATAATGCTATGAGGGAGTTCAGGCAGGGATAATATCTTTCTCGAGCATCTTCTGGGGGAGGGAAGTGGACATGTAGAGGCAATGTCACATACCACCTGTCCACAGTGGGGAGTGACATTGCTGATGCAGTGATGATGCTAGAATGCCAACCGCATTCTAGATCAGGGTTTCTCAAAGTATAATCAGAGGGCTGTGGTTGTATCCAAGACTCTTGCAGGGGTTCTGCCAGATAACACTAAGATAAGCTTTTCCTTTTTCACTCTCATGTCACCAGTATACACTAGAGTTTTCCAAAGGCTACATGTCATGTTGAGATGTCATTGTTCTGACATCCTGTGAGATATGTGCTAATGTGTAATCGTGTGTTTTCAGATTTTCTCAATTTTAATTTCTAATATGCTAAATATTGATAGATATAATTCATATAAATACAATAAATTTGAAGAGTGTAAAAGGATCCTAAGACAGAAATGAGAATTGCTTTTTTAGATATTGTTCTAAGGCCGTTAGAAACATAATCTCATTTAATGCAGGAAACACATTTAGTAGGCAAGCTCTACTGTCATGCCCATTCAATATACAAGGAAATGTGTGGGCCTGGAGAAGTTAATGATCTGCAGAAGGTACACAGGTAGTAAGTCACAAAGACAGAATTTGAACCCAGGTTTCAAGTTCTTAACTACTCCACTGACTGTGTTGTCAGGCACGTTGTCTCTCCTTTTTTTTTTTTTTTTTTTTTTTTTTGAGGGAGTTTCGCTCTTGTTACCCAGGCTGGAATGCAATGGCGTGATCTCGGCTCACCAAAACCTCCGCCTCCTGGGTTCAGGCAATTTTCCTGCCTCAGCCTCCTGAGTAGCTGGGATTACAGGCACGCACCACCATGCCCAGCTAATTTTTTGTATATTTATTAGAGATGGGGTTTCACCGTGTTGACCAGGATGGTCTCGATCTCTTGACCTCACCGCGCCCAGCCTGAGGCATGTTGTCTCTCAAAGAAGCACCAGGAAACGCCTGGATTTGGACATTAACTTCTCAGAAAAAAAACTTTTTCTAACTGAGGCCATCTCCAAGGGAATGTAAATATGAAGATTATCCTTATAGATGTGTAAAACAGATTATTTTCTAGTGGTTTGTGGGCTGAGGCTTGTACTTTGTGAAACACAAAACTGTTGGGCATCAGATTTTTAAACCTAGAGGATTTTAAATAAAAAAAGTTTGGATTGAAAAATTGGGAGATCAAGCTAGACTGTACTGGTATTTCCACATGGCCACAATCAGCTGCAGTTTATATCTGCTGTTCTTGCTAGGTAGATGTGTGTCCTCTAGTTTGCCACAGACCTCACTACTCCTTATTCACTACTACCTTCCTCCTAGCTCATGTTCCTCATTCATGTTGCCTGTTTGAAGTGTTTGGGTTGGAAACAGCTGGAGATGTTCTGTCTGCTGCATAGTGTTTATAGGCCATCTGCTTCCAACTTCATTGAAAAATAAAAAGTTATTGACAGTAAAAGAGCCAAATATATCCCACTCTGCTTACCCAAACCTCAATGTAATAAAGGTTGGCACTGACAATGCCACATAGAAAGCAAATTGCTTCTTTCTTTACTAAGGCATAATATTCTGATTCATTAAAGAATTAGGATCTGCCAGTGAATTAACATTTATTTTTAAACGTGAATCTCTTTCCTTTTTAAGTGTAATGGTGAAATAAGCACATTCCACTCATTGCCCTCATTTTATGCTTATTTTAGAAATATCTGTTGTCCTCATCATTAACATGTCTGGACCCTTTACAAAAAAAGTCTCTGCGAACCTCTTGTACATGTTAAATCAGTCATTTGAAAGAACTTAAGATTGTCAACCTAAAGGACTGCATTATCCCGGGCATTTAAACAACATTAATGAATTTCAAATTGTTATGCTTAACATTTGTCAGCAGTAGATATTAAGCATTTATCATAATGTATAGGTATATATTTGCTTGCCTCTTTCCTTTTTTTGCCTCACCCCAGAATATAAGTTTCATAAAGCTGGAAATTATATCTGTTTGTTCACAATGTATATTCTATGCTTTGTACAGTGTTTAGCACATAACAGTCAATAATTAATGAATAAAGGAATAAATGTATAAAGGTATAAATTGTATATATGATAACTGATTCTTCTGCAGACTTAAGAATAATATTTAAAAATGCTCAGTAAAAATGCTCATGCTTTTTCATTTGAGAGTCAGATAGGGGAGATATTTATTCCTTGTTATCCACATAAATATACCTCTATTTCTGTGTGTGCTACGTTCTATTTAGGATGGTTCCTGGTCTTCCTGATGTGAGGTCAATAGGCAGGTTACACATCTACCTAGCTAAGAATAAGGTGCATATTGAGACCAGGATGCAAGAAGAGGCTGTTGAACTTGAACGTTCAGCACAGAGTCTTTTCTATACTAAAAAAAATAGTCGTCCTGCAGTTGGAAGTGGCAGTTATTCGGCCACTGGAAAAGTCTCATGTAATAGTAGCTTTTAGATGATGTCTCCTCCAAAGGGGCATCCAGCTATTAACCTATTGATGAAAGAGAAATACCATTGTCTATTAATACTACTGGAACTAAAGATGAATAGTGAATTGGCCTTGATCTGACAGTGAGTTTGACTTTGATAGCTCATCACTTAAAAAGGTTCTTTTATATTTATGAAAAAAAGCATGACATCAAGCCAGGGGGAAGAATTGATACCAATATTTAAGACCAAACTCATAGGGCTTCCAAACAAAAAAAAAGGCCCTTGTGTGAACTTTTTTTTTTTTACATGCATAACTAATTAGCTTAGGTTATTATAAGCAGGGCTTCTGTGATAAAGTTTCCGGTGGTGTCTCAGGATACCTTGTTTATAGTGCCTTCTCTATGCCAGTTTGTCTTCAAATTGGGATTACAGAAAGTAGAGGAAGGAATAGTCTACTGTCTCACATTGGACTGGGGTCACTTAAAACGTTGTTATGCTGGAAATGCTAGAATATAATCACTATCAGGTGAGCTTATTCTGACTCATATTCAGTCTTTGAAATATAATGGAATAAATTGATTTAATCCACTTTTTATGTTATTGTAATAAACATACTGTTTTCGGTAAATACAAATGTGCTCTTTTAATGCTGTTTATTATTTGATGCCATAAGAAGTAACTCTTTGTAGTATTGAACAAAGTAAATATTAGTAGAATTTTTGTTCTGCCTAGTGCATGGCTAAACCATCTTCATCAGCCCCTGTTCAATTGCTCATAAGATTAAACTGTGTTTATCAAGAAAAAAGTGACTTAAAATTGAATAATGTTGTTTTTTGGGGAAAAATATTTCTCATTCTGAATTAATGTCTGTGGGAAAGGAGAAAAAATATCCTGGTGGTTTGTTAATAGTCATGCCTTTTAAAACACATAAATATAAGCGTTATGCATTTGAAAGAAACTGCTTAATATAGAATTGCTTTTATGTTGAGTTTTTTCTTAATTAAAATGTTGAATAATCATGTCCAAATGAAAGTGGGAGAATTAATCCACAACTAGTTGATTTAATCATCAGAAGGTTTCTATTTATTTTCTATAGCTCTTTTACACAGTTGATTCATAAGGAGTTTTGTGTGTGTGTGTGTTTGTGCGTGCATGTATGTGTGTTTTAAAACGAAAGCTGTTCTGTTTGCCAAGGAAAATGAAATAAACTGAGTTATGCCCCTTTTTAATTGTTGTTTTCATCTTAATAAACCCTTTCATGTGTGTTGGGGAAATTTTTCCCCTAAGATAGTTTCAAACTTTTAGTTATTAGATATGAGAAGAAGGATATAAGGTTTGGAAGAGATGTATAGTTAATTAGCAGGGAAATAAAATAGGGCAGAGTATTACCCCAAATCCTACGAGTTAGACTTTAAACTTCAGTAATATCAAAATCCGTTAGCACAGTGCCTGGTACATAACAAAGGCTTAATAATTTCTTCTGTTGGTGGACTGGTCAGTTTCATGTTTGTGGCTGAAAGAAAAGCTGTCTGAAACTCACAAATAATCGTGCTGTCTTTTTTTCCCTCCATGGCTATGTTCAGGTGCAGACCCACCTTGAAAACCCCACCAAGTACCACATACAGCAAGCCCAGCGGCAGCAGGTAAAGCAGTACCTTTCTACCACTTTAGCAAATAAACATGCCAACCAAGTCCTGAGCTTGCCATGTCCAAACCAGCCTGGCGATCATGTCATGCCACCGGTGCCGGGGAGCAGCGCACCCAACAGCCCCATGGCTATGCTTACGCTTAACTCCAACTGTGAAAAAGAGGTAATTCATGTCTCCTCTCCTCTCCTGTTTTCTTACGCTAAATAACTTGTCTGTTGAATATGACTCCCACACTTAACTGTGGACTCTAGTTTGTCCTTATGGCCACATGTACCAGCCTGTGTCACTGATTCACAAGAGGCATTCCAGCCTCTTGTCCCCATCGCTGGGTTATTGGGTGTATGGCACATGACGGGAGACCTGGCCCGCTCCAAGTAAAACGTGGAGGCGAGGACACTTTTGCCACTTGCTTCTTCTTCCTTAGCTAAGTGCTTTCTTCTCTTCCATGCCTTTCAGTTTATGAAGAGTGAAAATGCAGAGAGAGGAGAAGGGGAGGTGGAAAAGGAAAAGCAAAAATAGAAGAGGTGTGGGACAGGCGGTTTAGAAGTTCCGCTTGTTGTGAATGTCTGGAATATTATTTTTATTTCTCCCTGAGTTGGGGAAAAAAAAGCATGGAATGTGCATGGATGGATTTGAATCATATAGCACATGAGAATTTAACAGAAATGCAAAGGTTTAATTCCTGGTTACATTCTGTTTCATAATAAAATTGCCGCTGCCTGTTAAAACTGCTTTGGTAAAGGCTGGATTGGAGACAAGACTCAAACTACCTTCAAGCTAATTGGTGCATCAAAATTTGGAGCATACAAATACCTAAGAGTTGTGATTTAATGCTCATTATTTCCAAATTATGAGATGATGAGCTTCATCTTAATGGGATTTACTATACTATGTACAATGAAGTACTTATGCAAATTCAGAGGCAACTTTTCTCAAGTTGGGTTGATTTTAATTTCTAGAGGGTCTGAAATCTTTGCCCCTATGCCCAAACCAACTGCTTTATTTTTCTCTACCCATATTTGTCATCTAGCAAGATGATTTGATGGAAGTTCTTCCTTCATTATTTCATCTTTTGGTCAGATTCCACTTTGTTTGAAAGCTTAGTTCATCTTACTGCTGTGCCATCAGCTTTGTGTGAAGCGGTCATTAAAAAGTCATTTGCAAATCCAAGTTATAGGCTGTTTTTGCTTGTGTTTTTGCAGGGATTTTATAAGTTTGAAGAGCAAAACAGGGCAGAGAGCGAGTGCCCAGGCATGAACACGCATTCACGAGCATCCTGTATGCAGGTACTGAATGACTTGGCAGCCCGAGGATGTAACACTTTGTAATGAGAATCTATATTTGTGGTGAATCACACCTTCTGGAAAACTTGAGAGTTTTTTTTTTACCCCATTGATTTTTTTTTTTAATAGAGAAAGCTATGAACAGTGCCATTTTTCTCATAGTATCTCATGATTAAATAATGACAAAGGAGAATACACTAAAATGTGTTTTTCCCCTAAGTTGTTCGAAAACATTAAAAACTTCTTAAAGTAGATAAATTTTAATAAATAAAATATGAAATATGTCATTTAACATCATCAATATATTTTATGCAAATTTGTAAGTTAGCGATTTTTGTATTAGTAAAACCAAGATGTGTGTGTGTAATCTTTATATTGTTTCCTAAATGGAATCCCATGGAACATATATTTTAAAACTATCTTTATTAATTTAATAATACTTAATGGATGCTTTCCCAAGTAACTAAAGTTTCTTCCATTACATCCTATTTAGTGGACATTTAAACTATGCTATATCTATTTATTTATCTATGCATGTATATAGATATAGGAGAGAATAATAAGCAACAGAACTTTTGCCTTTATTTCTTATTATCAACTTGCATTACTTTTGTCATAAGAAAAAAATTATTTTAAAAATGCTATCACATCAAGCCCACTAATTTTATTTTTCTAAAAATAAAATTTAAAATGGCAAGGAAATGTTGTTCATAAGTTCCCTAGCCTATTTGCCTATTTACCAACTCAATTAGAAACTCATCTCTTAAAGACAAACAAAACAAATAAAATTGGTGTCAATAGAAATGGAACCTAACAAACACTGTATAGTAGTTATTCAAAACTGGCCAATTATTCTTCTGAGGGATCACTTAATAAGACTCTTTTTTTGAGTGTTTACTATGTTCTGGTACTTTGAACCCTCTGTACAGCTTGTCCTGAAATCATATAAGAATCCATATGACAGTAAATATTATTACCCCCCATTTTATAGATTGGCAAACTGAGGCTTTAAAAGATTGGAGGCTTTGCCCCTAATCTAGAAAGTGGGAGAACTGGGATTCCAACCCAAACCTATGATGTTGGAGTCTCTTCTCTTTAATGGAAGTGGCAAAAGAGACGGAGAGCATCCCTGTTAGTTCTGAGATTTCACGTGTAACTCTGAAGTACTATTACGATCCAAGCACAGACACACCAACTAGCTCAAATACATAGGTGTTTACAAAGAAATGTTTTCACAGACTTGTCTTTAAAACTGCTGCAATGCACGTGTAATCACTGTTGTTTATTATCATAACTGATGTTTTGGTACTTCAGAAATAAAATTGATCTAGTGGGAATGTCAGCTCCATGACTGTAATGATAACCTCATCCTGGTGTACTCCTTGGGGAGTACCAACCACAATGGCAGCTGTACAAGGAGAAACTCATTTTTGAGTCACTGTAGGGTGGGTGCAGGGATAGCCAGTGGCCTGGGAGCCACACTGTCCACACATCCCTGTGGAACCAAAGGGCAAAATCACCATTTGTGTTTTCTTTTTCTAAGAAAAGGGTATGGCTATCGTCTTTAGGGAAAAAAGGAAGTAGAATGACAGCTGTCATTCATAATGAAGTGCTCTGGTATACCTTCCTGTTTAGGGCAGGCAGTTTAGCATAGTTGTGAAAGGATGAGTTAAATCATGCCTCCAGTCGTTCTTCAGTGTGTGACTTTGGGCAAGCTGCTTCTCATTTATGTCAACTGGAAAATTGCTAAAATAATAGTATATTATTATATATCAGTGCCTGATAGGGTTTTTGTCAGAGCAAAAGCTTAGCCCATGGAAATCCCTCAACCCAGTGCTTGGCAACTCATAATCACTCATTAAATGCTGGCCACAAGTATCATTCTCATCACCTGTTAGTGTTAATGGTCTTCAGTAACATTTTATTTTAGTGGAAAGAGGACAGTTACTTCTTAGAATCTAACTAAATACCATTATTGCTTTGGGTAAAAAAAGACCATGAGTCTCTTTTTGGGTTGTGTTACATAGTTTCATTTATTTTTGTCTCTCTTCTGTTGCCCTTTTTCCTACAGATGGATGATGTAATCGATGACATCATTAGCCTAGAATCAAGTTATAATGAGGAAATCTTGGGTTTGATGGATCCTGCTTTGCAAATGGCAAATACGGTATTGATAACCTTTTTTTCAATACAACATCTTGAGGTGTTTCCAGGGTTCTCTTCCTTTTTCTTAAACTTTTAGTGTGTCTTTGCAACTGGTTCACTGATGAAATGTACTAATCATAAAATGGAGAATTATCTCAGGATCAAAAGTAAGTGACTTTGTAATCAGAAATTAAGAATTTTTAATGAGTTTGTGAATAACTCCATGATAAATTCTACATTCCCTGGAGTCCAAGAACAGTTTCAATAGGACATTAGCCCTTCCAATTCCCTTGACATCTAATGCCCAACCCTCCAGCCAAAGGAACTATTTTGAATTGCACTGTTCACAATGGTGTTCTAGTTGGCCTGAAAAAGTTGGTGCGGTTTTTCAATAAGTTTTTTATCATATTCTTAGGGGATAGAAGGACATTGGGGTTACCCTTCTCCAACAGCAAAATTTATTCCAACTTCAGTTTATAAACCAATGGTTCTATTTACTATTGTATGTTACTTGTTATTCTCTGTAATTTAGAGGCTTGCCTATATGGTTTATTTTCCTTCATTCCTTACATTTTAGTCTTACGTTACTATTTTACCAAAGTCTTATTGCAGATATTATTTAGACCTTGCAGTTATTCTGTGAGTCAGGTTCAGATGGTATCATTGCCCTCAGTTTTAAATGGTAACTAGGTTAGAGGGTCTTACACAAGATTACATATCTTGGGTGTATCAGAGCCAAGGCCTTCTTGGTAAGTCTTCAAATGCCTTCTGTCATCCTTTTCTGTCTTCTCTGACAGCAATGCTTTGAGGCCATCATATTCTTAATAACTGGTATTTTAAAGACTAATATTTATTGAGAGGAAAGGGAAAAAAAGGAGTTGTTTAATGGGCATGGAGTCTCACATTCATAAGATGAAAAATTATGGAGATCTGTTTGATAAGAATGTGAACACTACTGAATCGTACACTTAAAACTGGTTAAGATGGCAAATTTTATGGTATGTATTTTTTGCCATAATAAATTTTTTTTAAGATAAGACTAACTTCTAATAGCAAATTCCCTTGGCCAGGGAACAAGATAGCACTTATTTATGTACACCAGAATCCACAGAAAATTGAGTCTTATAGTTAGCATTTTTTTCTTTTTTCTTTTTTTAAATCCATCTTGGTCCAGTTCTTCAAGTTCATTTCCTTGAACTCATGTGGGCTGAGGACTCCCCTTGAAACCTTAAGCTTCTACTATGATATTTAGAGTTTGTCTACTTTCCACCCATTTAAACTCATCCCCTGATTTTAGAAGAAGCACATGTTCTGCCACTGTGACAAAAGTTTCCATGCTAAACTCTCCCAACCTCTTGGAATCCTTGGTTGGCTTCTATGGAACTTTTTTGCTTACAAGTTGGTGTATCCTATGAGGCCAACTACACTTGTCTAGCAGTCAGAATCCTAGGATGAACATGAACAAAACACTTGGGGGAGCATGCCCTGGGGAATTTATAAATATACCCAAAGACATGGGTATATTTACAATGTTTCACTGCTCTAGCAGCGTTAATTAGCAATGGCCCAGTCATCTCAAAAGAACTTGGTCATGAGAGCGGTCATTTTGCTAGTGGTGTCAAACTGGGCACACTCAAGTGGACTGTAGAATTGACATGATTCTGTAAAATCGTTGACTTCTTTTTGTAGTGGCAAAGACCTTTGATATCATTTGGTCTAACATAGTAATCAGGCATCCAGCTTCTTGGAAGCCTCCAAAATAGGATCTGTACTAGCTCACTAGAGAAATAGCAAAGCACAATGGTTAGGATTTAGAGATTTCTGACCAGATCTGGGGTCACGTCCTAAATTTGCCATTTCCTCTGTGACCTTGCATGTTATTTAGCTTTTTGAAACTCTACCTTTCTCCATCTGTAAAATGGGGCTGTTAAATATACCTACATTATGCAGTCAACTCACTTGATAAAGTATCTGTAGCATTTGGCATTGGAAACATTAGTTGTATTCAATAATGTTACCTAAATTATTAAGTATAACTTTTTAATTATAATATTAAATAATATTGATAGTACTTGTTTATTCAGCTTATCTTCATTGAGCCCCTATAATGTGTCAAGCTCCGTGTTAGATATATGTGAGACGTATCTATCTCATGATATCCCTCACAGTAAATCACTCTGTAAATTGCAGCATGGGTCCAGTTTGCTTCATGGAGAACTTTTCCACATACCATCCCTTCTGAAGACAGTTGTCATGACCCCATATATGCTCCTGTCCTTTAGAATGAACACCTGGCTGGGCCTATGGCTCACACCTGTAATCCCAGCACTTTGGGAGGCCGAGGCAGGAGGATCACTTGAGACCAGGAGTTGGAGATCAGCCTGAGCAACACAGAGAGAACCTGTCTCTATTGAAAAATGTTAAAAAACAGCTGGGTGAGGTAGTAGCACATACCTGTAGTCCTAGCTACTCAGGAGGCTGATATGGGAGGATCACTTGAGCCTAAGAGTTCAAGGATTCAATGAACCATGATCATACCACTGTCCTCTAGCCTAGGCAGCAGAGCAAGACCCTACCTCTAAAAAACAAATTTAAAAATAAAAAAGTAGAATGAATCCTCATGCCTCTTCATTCAGTCTGCATTAGTCTTGAGGCTTTGTTCCTTCATTATCTGCTTGCTCCTAAACTATATTAAAGATTGATTTAGCATTTATTAATATGCCTAATAGGTGGCAAGCACTGGGCAAGGTGCTGTGGATGCAAAGATGACTAAGGTATGCTTCCTGTTCTCACGGAGGTGGGTGGGTACCAGTCTAGAAGGGGGAGACTCTTTTAGCTCTTTGAAGGGAGAAGGCTAATTTGGGAGGAGAAAGGCCATCTCAAGGGAATTTCCAGATAGGAAAGATCCTCTGGGCACAGTTGAATTAATTCCCAGACAGGAAAGGAGTCCCCTGAAACCACCCTTAGAAGTCACTGACTTTATCCCAGCATCCTCTTATCTTCTTTATCCCCATGCTGGAAAGGCTAAATGTGGCTCCATTAGAGTTTTCCTCCAACTAATCTGTTTCAGCATTTTGCCATTAAAGGAAGGACAATGTAACTTCAACATTAGGAGCACAGACTCTGAACCAGACATCTAAATACATACTCTTGAGTGAGTTATTTGAGCTCTCTGCTTCTGTTTGCTTGTCTGTAAAGTGGGGATCATAGTAGCATCTACTGCCACAGAATTAATGTGAGAATTATAAGAGGTAATCCCCAAAAAGTATTTAGAACAGTTGGGTCCTGATGAGCTCTCACTAAAAGTTAGTTACTAGCTCTTATTCTTGATGAACTTGAGTTTTAGTTGTCAAAATTAAATTAAAAAGCTACTGCAACCTATTAACATTTTAATTTTTTTCACACAGTAAGTTTTAAATTTAACATTCTTCATGTTAGGCATTTTTTCTTTTATTTGATTATTTGAAATGCTTTATTTCAAGTTAACTACTTAGAAAAAAATAAAGTGGAAGGAACACTTGGAGAGGAAACTGTCCTAAGGGAATTGAAGTCTAGAAATAACTATTCTGAGAGCACAAGGGTCCTCTTGTACTATCACAAACAAAGAATAAAAGTCCCAGTTTACTTGTGTTAACAGTGCTCAATTGATATTCAGAGAAGGGGACCATCCAGAGAGAAAAAATAATAACATTTTACAATTATTTACTTGGAAAAATATTGATTTTGGTGAAGCACAGCATTGAAGAACTCAGTTCAGACCAAGGTGGGGCATAGACCCAGGCGCATCTACCTTCAATTTATATGTCCTGATTAGACTGGCTTTCATCTGTTTAAGGTACAGCTTGTGCTCTGGAAGTGAAATCTTGTCATTTAGGTAAATGGGCTGGATAAAAACCCAACAAATATGCGAAATATACATGTTAATAGGAGAAGTTTCTTCCTCTTTCTTAGCTCCAAAGGTGTTATTTTGACCTAATTATCATGTTAACTACACTTAGGGGGGAAGTTTTCAAAAGAATGACAGAATCCTTTCTTTTTAAAGTGCATGGCTAAATGACATATTTTAAATTACTTCTGTCAACCTTCCTTTTGGTAGCTTCAGCAAGGAACAGCTGTTGATACAAAGAACATACAGCACCATTTAGGACACAGTTTCTCCACTGTGGAAGTGATGACATTTGGGATAGATAAGTCTTTGTGGTGGGAGACTGTCCTGTGCATTTTAGGATGCTTAGCAGCATCCCTGGCCTCCACCCACTGGATGCCAGCAGCAAATCCCCCGCAGGTGTGTCAACAGAAAACACCTCCGGACATTGATCCGGGGAAACAAAATCAGCTCCAGTGTAGAAGCCCTGACTTAGAATAATGAGTGGTCACTTCAGCCTTGCAGATTCCATGATTTCTGCACTTAGGTTTGCATTACAGTCTGGTAAAAATTGTCTATTCATTGACATGTACTTAGTAATTAACATGGCAGACGGTTTTGTTGATCACAGTGTAAATAGCTCAACTGTCAAAACTGTAAAGTGGGAATCCAGTACTCCCTAAAAAATTATAATACTGTGTTGTTAATCATAGCGGTTACCACTTATTGATCACTTACGTAGCATGCACTGTGTTTCACCTACTTTATTAAATTTCGTAAAAACCCTGTGAGAAGAATGGTTGTCACAAGCCTCAGAGAACTTGCTTAATATCACACAGCCAGTTAGTAAAGAGGCAGGATTTTAATCTGGGTCTCTGACTCCTAAGCACAGGCTATAAAGCTCTGCCTCATTAATCAGTAGATTTGAGTATCCACATTTGGCTAGTAAGTGGTAGGGTTTTTATTTCCTCAGGTCTAATTGGAGATGAATGGAAAGTTGCAGTTTCTAATTGTTTAATATCAGCATGTTGATATTCTCCCCACCCCTAGTTCTGCTGTTAACGTGGGACATGAACCTCCAACCAAAAACTTTCATTCGGCAGTGGCAAAAACCTTGGCTTGCTTTCTGTAAAAATCAGTAAGATGCTGTACACAAGTGCCGTTTTAGTTCTGTGCTTTGCCCAAAGTAGGCCCCCAAAAATGACATGACCCCCAGCAAAATATTCTGGCATGGTTTTTGCCGCCCACTCCTAATCAGCAAGTATGGGAAAAGCAGCCAAAGCAGGGAATCTTTCAGAGAAGTAAATAGAGGGCTATAAGCTGCTTTTTCAACTGGAAGTAATGATGTCTGACCTCAGTAGAGCACTCAATGAGGCATCTTACTATAGGGATTTTGATTCATTTCCCTTATTGGTGTGCACTGTCGTCAATCCATGCTAATCACGGCAGTCCTTTCTATAGTTTTCACCCATCTGAATCCATTTCTCACTAGGTATCCCCCACTTTGCTCTTTGTCTCCCCAACCCTGTCCCTCAGGCTCTCTATGGCAGAAAGCATTCTCTCTCTTACTCATGGACATATGTCTTTGGAATGTAGTTAGAAATATGTTCCTGTCCAGAAGAAGCTTAGAATTAGATGTCTGTTCAACGTAGGTCTATCAATGACTTAGAGATACTTATCACTTGCTATTATTTATCCATAACAAATCATCATAATAATACAGTGAGTTTTGTATACAATTTGCATATGAAAACATAATATATATGATTTGCATTTCTAGAGCAAGGGGAGTCATTTTTTTTTTTAGCTTATTGCCTTGAGTTTTCAAGTCACATTCTTGGTTTGTTAAAACCCAGAACTTTTCCCAAAATCTGAAATTGTCAAAAGATAGGGGAATAAAGCTTTGAAATCCAAGGAGTTACCAGACATCATGGCAGCTATGTAAGTTTAGTCTCTCTGGTACTTTACAGGGCTGTTTTGAAATGTGTGAGTGCCTTTCACTTTGCGTTAAATTGGACAAGAATAAAACTAAACACACACAGAGCAAAGTTGACCCCGAGAAGGTGACCTATTTCAAATAAAACCACTTAGTGAAATGACAGCTAATAATCAAAGGCACTTTTTATCAGTTACTTAGAGGGCCTTGAAATATGATTCAAGGGCATTTTAAATGACCACGATGTCTATTTTTGTGCATGTATATGGGGGTATTATATTAGGTTTTATGCATATACTATAAATGCAGCTTTCAAAAAGGAAGAAAAGAGGGAGTTGTATTCTGCTAGTCTGTCTGTCCTCCCTGCCCATTGCAATCCTGTTCGAGCCTTAGATTCGCATTGGAAAGTATCTCATTCCATGTCCATTGCTTCCCACCCAAATCTTCTTAGCTAGGGGTTTAATTCATAGAATATATGTTTAGAAGCCATCACAGAAATGGAGGCAATGGCTACCAGTGAGGGGAAGCACATTTGACTCTGCTTGTATTTTGTGGTATATTTTCATCTGTATGTTAGCGTTCACTTGAGAGGATGCAAGGTCCTCTGTTGAGTACAATTTTTACTAGATACCTCTCAGTCACTAAACACTGTAATCACACCTGAATGCTTTATGAATGTACTTTTCTCAGATGTAGAATAAAATTCAGTGTGTAATCAAGAAACGGGAGGGCTAAACAACATAGTCTTACCCAGTAATCATGGTTATAGAAATTGTTTGAATTATTCTAGAAATGGCACTTGTCTGCAGTGGAAGGAGTGAGGTCACTCAACGCTTTCTCCGTAGTTACTATTTCAAACTGAATTTCAGGGCATGGGAAAGGAGTTCATCTTGGACCTCTTCTACAAAAACAGACCTATAAACTGCTACAACCAGCTAATTACCAAGAAAAGCATACACACAACCAAAGAAGACTCACTGCTTTAAAACATCCCATTCAGAACTACAGGAAAAACTCTGATGCTGGCTTGGGGAAGGCGAAATATTTTTTTTTTTTTTTTTTGGAAAGTGTAAATTTTTGCCCCTTTTAAAAGTCCTTGGGCTCCCTCTTGTGGCTTTGTGGAAAATTTCAATTTCAAGGAAACGCTTTTTCTCTTTAGCAATAAGGAAATCATTTCTTTTCCAATTAAAAAAGCAATAACATGCTTTTATTGCTTTTCCTTATAAAAGAAAGAGAGAGAATAAGAGGTGGAAAAGAGAGGAAAGGAACAAAATTTACTTTAATGAGAAGTCGTATTTGGTGAAAAAGTCATATTTTATATACAATCCTGTTTTACAATAATAGCCAACATTCCCTGAATACCTACTGTATGCTACTAGTTGTACTAGATAATGCATTCACCACATTATGCTGAAAATAAACCTATCAGCTAGTTAGTATAATCATTTTATGGATGTGAGACTCTACTTTTCTCCCTCAAAGGGAACTAGTTGAGAAGACCCTGTAACTCTCTTTTAATATCTGTGAGTAAATGAAAAAGTAAACATCTCATATTTTCCTATTTCAAAAATGAGTTTTTGTATCAAATAATTTTTCTTAAATAAATCCTAGAGTAGAAAGTAGGTTTTATTTGAAAAAAGTAGGAATTGTTCAACAGTTAATTTCTGTTATTGTTTGTCTCTAGTTACCTGTCTCAGGAAACTTGATTGACCTTTATGGAAACCAAGGTCTGCCTCCCCCAGGCCTCACCATCAGCAACTCCTGTCCAGCCAACCTTCCCAACATAAAAAGGGAGCTCACAGGTAAACACTTAGCAAATGTGCCTCTTACTGTGGATTTCTGTCCACTTCCAGTAAGACAAAGTTATCGATACAGTGATGTGCAAACTATATCCACTCATGGACATAACTTTTATAGGTCCGTGCAGTGGTTAAAACATTGTACAATATTTTAAGATGGAGGATTTATACTTGGAAATCCTGTTTTTTTCAAGGAGATCCTTGAAGATCTACTGAGAATACTGGGAATCAGGGCCACCATTACCACATGTCACTAATCTCCGTGTCTATGGTGAAAGTGCCCTTTGTGTTGGGAGTAGTAGGCAACACTTTCAGCTGTAGCTGTCTCTACCCTACCTGATATGTATGTTTCTTACCAAGCCCCTAAAGGCATTTGAGTTTGAGAACCCAGATCTGAATTTTCCTTTGACACATTCGAGCCCACAGTTGGGATAGCATAAGAATATATTTCTTACGTCTTCAGATGCCGCCTGTTATCTTTTGCTGTATTGTGTGCAAAGATTTATTATACAGAGGGAAAAAATTATAAAATGGAGCAATGGGTATTATTTGTTCTTGAGGCAAGTATGAAATTACCTGTTTCTCCACTTTGTTTAATGCTTTAGGGAAGACATTTATTTGGTCATTAAAACATGGCAGAAACTATATTAGAACTGGCATTCTACCATGGTGAATTTTATGACCCTTACCCCACCCCCTTTTTATTATTTGATCCTTGCATAGTGCTGGATTGGATGAACAGACTGAGAATATGGAATATGGATTTGGTACAGAGAATACCTGTTCCAGTCATGTCTTAAAAAAATTTTTTTTTTTTTTTACAAAATAAGCAGGAGAAAGATGTTTTTAAAAAAACTATGGATTTGAGTGAAAAAAGGGTAATTAATAAGTAAAAACCACCCAAAACCAAAACACAAGAAGCTATCCTACCAAAAAGGAAAACTACTGCAAGACAACAACAAATGCAAGAATATCAGGCAGGCACAGTAGCTTACACCCGTAATCCCAGCACGTTGGGAAGCCAAGGTAGGCAGATTGCTTGAGCTTGGAAGTTCAAGGCTGCGGTGAGCTGTGATCGCACCGCTGCACTACAGCCTGGGCAAAAGGAGGGAGCCCGTCCAAAACAAAGCAAAATCAAACAAAACAACAACTTAAGAATCATTGAAGTGGAGGATATGTAAGTCATGCTTCTGTGTGAGGGAAAAAAACTAGAAAATGATTTGGATTGACCATCACAGTTGAAAGAATTCAACTTCTGAATTATATATATATACATGCACACATAGATATGCATATTATGCATATATAAATGTATGTATGCATATATATATGCATGTATGCATATATAATACTCATACAATAAATATATATGGTGTATATATATGCTTCAGTGGCTATAAGTTATGCTAAAAAGTTTTCTATTTTAAGATAAAATTCTAAATTATGATAGTGTAATGCTTCAACTATCACTTCTGAAAAGGAAATAACAGAGCTTCTGAATCCCAAGACTGGTCAAGTAACATTTTTTAAAAAATTCTGTTTTGTTTTGTTCTCTTTAAAGCAAAAAGTAGTCTCTTATCCCAGAGATCTCACAAGAGTTGCTATGCAAATAGAACTTTCCAAATGGAGTTGCCGCCAAATGCCTCTGTATGCTATTTCCATTTTGTTTTTATAGACTCAGGCTAGTAAATAGTTGTTCCTAAGAGTTATTAGATGATTTCATTATAGCAGATTTTAACATAATCTGGCAACAACTTCTGAAAAAATGAGTTTATTCCATGAACTAGTCAGAAGATACAGAGATCCAATTTTGGAAGCTTTTTTTTTTTTTTTTTTTTCCTTCCTTCCTTCCTTCCTTCCTTCCTTCCTTCCTTCCTTCCTTCCTTCCTTCCTTCTCTTTTCTTTTCTTTTCTTTTCTTTTTTCTTTTCTTTTCTTTTTTGTTTTGTTTTGTTTTCAGGGTCTCACTGTGTTTCCTGGGCTGGCATGCCGTGGTGTGATCATGGCTTATTGCAACCTCAACCTCCTGGGCTCAAATGATTCTCCCACTTCAGCCTTCCAAGTAGCTGGGACTGCAAGCATGCACCATCATGCTGGACTTATTTTTTGCAAAGACCCAGGCTGGTTTTGAAATCCTGGGCTCAAGTGATCTTTCTACTTCTACTTCCCAAAGTTCTGGAATTACAGGCATGAACCACCATGCTGGGCCTCTACTCAGCTTTTATATCAGCGTGTTACAAAGGCATCAAAAAAGGACTGAAAGGTTCTATGGCCTGAAAATAAAGCATATCAGGCTCCTGATTATAAGAGTATCAACAGCAAATTGACATAGTTTTCTAATTGTTGATTTCTTTCTTGCTAGTATCTGTGTATGTTTACAGTGTGCCACAGATAATTTTTACTGGGTTTTTAACATTTTGTGGGAGGGCAGTTTTTGCATACTGTATATTTGATATATATATTGCTTTTGAAAGAGTGCAAGATTTCTAAAAAGATATCTTTTTTTAAAAAAACATCGTTTTACTTAGAGTCAAGTCAGATAAGCTTCCGTATGTTGGGAAATGAGATATTTTGTAGTTTACATTTTGTGCAACCTTGAACAGTTCCAACTTCTAATGACTTCATTCACGTGCACAGCGTGTATTTTTCCCACAGAGTCTGAAGCAAGAGCACTGGCCAAAGAGAGGCAGAAAAAGGACAATCACAACTTGAGTAAGTTGGTCTTATTTATGTTCTCGATGTTTCATATTAGAGTTAATGTTCCCCCATCTATCAAAAATGTTGCCAGAAATTCTGTGGAGGAAAGATGATTTCTACAGCTGTTAAAATTATCTCTTATGGAAGAAAATTGTATTTGACAGAAACCAAGCTATATATTTTCCCCATATTTTATCTCAGATCAAATTAAATTTTGTGTATATACTTACTTTCAGTTTCTGAAGAGTTTTTATTATTTTGTTGTTGTCGTTTATAGTAGTGGGGTTCTCTCTCTCTTTCTCTCTCTCTCTCTCTCTCTCTCTCTCTTTTGCTGAAGGGGAGAATTGATCCCCAACTACCCAATTATAAGTACTGCTCACACTGGAACTTATTAACAAAGGAGGATTAGGGGAGCACCTTCTCCAGTGAGATTTGAAAGAAAAAAAAAGAAACAGATCTGAAGAGGGGAGTAAATGCATGAGGTAGCCTCCTAAATTTCTGCTGTGATTCATGACTTAAAAAACAAAAGTCCTAAAGCATTTAAACTAATTTTTATGTGTTAATTTACCCTTGATCAATTCTTCACGTTGTTTCCTATGAATACTTCAATTTTTGTTTACTATAAACAAGTAAGACAAGTTGCACAGATAAAAAGGGGGGATTGGGCTCTCAGGTAGGAAATATTTTGTATGTGAATTTCTCATCTCATGGCCTTATATCCTCTGTTTTTTAAATTGATTTTTAAGAATGTGAGTCATATACAAACACTTTCTCCTTACAAAAATAACACAATAAGGCCAGAGTTCTCCTTTAGTTCCCAGGAAAATGCATGTTGGTTTCAATTTGGCATTGCTCTTCCTGACCTTTTTCTGTGTATTAAGAATATAGACACATGCACACAGAAAAGAAATAATACGGATTTGTACATGTTTTAACACAAATGGTATTATGTTGTCCATTTTATGTTGATTTTTTTTTTCTACTGAGCAGTGTGTTTTGAAAACCTTTTGCTGTTAGAAATCTAGATCTATCGGGCTGGGCACGGTGGCTCAAGCCTGTAATCCCAGCACTACTTTTTGAAAATGAATTGCATAGTATTTTACAGTGTGACTGTGTGGTTTTTAGTCACTTCCCAACTGCTGTGTGTTTATGTTGTTTCTAGTTTTTTCCTATTATAAACAATGCCACAGTGAGCATTTTTATATGTGTCTGTGTACAAGAAAGTTTGTTTCTCTATGTTAGAAACAAAACTGACAAATAGAACTGCTGGGTCCTGAGGGTGCTGGTTTTCACTTTAAGAGCTACACCCCTCCCCGCTTCTCATGTCGGGTGTAAGAAGCTTTCCGTATCTTCACCAAAAGATATAAACAATTATCTCCAAGTCCTCCTCCAGCTTCTAAGTAACTTTACCCTAAGATATTAATTCCTTTAAAACACTTTAGAAACAAGATAATTAGGCATTATCCAAAACTACTTAAGTGAGATGTGGAAAACTGAGTTGGATCTTATGAAAAACAATAGATACCTATAATTAGGCACCTGAACTCTCAAGGCTAAGGTTGTCTGTAAAGTGCAAACATGATCCACTCAAACTCTGAAGGCTATGAAGCAATCTTAAAGTATCATCCAACCACTGGGAATTAATACTGAGGGTTAGATTGCTCCTTTATTTAGCTTTGTCTCTTCTAGGAATTTATTTTGTAAGAGTACTTGCCAAAATGTGCAAAAGGATACATCTATCTTTTCACTCATTCATTCATTCACTCATTCATTCAGCCATTAATATATGTTGAGCTGCTGTTTTGTATGATGTGAACCAGAAGATGAGTTTCCCATCCTGAGAAGCTTACCTTTGAGTTAGGGGTCATCTACCATGTATTACTGAGCGAGATGAGCAAGGGGTAGAATAGTATCTGTAATATCCCAATGTGTAAAAAGAACACACTGGGGAGAGATGTATTTGTGTGTATGTTTATGTGGATATGGATGTGCATGGGAGACAATCTAGATATCACCCTTATCAGTGACAATTTAGATGTTGAATGGTACAACATCTAAATTGGATGTTGTACCAGGCATATAGATGTTGAATGGTACAAAGACTTGGCTTTTACTTTTTCCTTAATACACCTTTGTATTTTTTGAATTTTTTCACTAGCTTATATCATCTTTCTAATAAATGGTTGGAATCGGAAGTCACTGAACTAAAAATAAAATGTAGTACACCTAGATATTGACAGTGAAAGATGTCAGCTATATGCTGGTGAGCGAAAAATAAAAAAGATAGATGCAGAGTCATTTTTAGTATGATTCCACTTTAAATGTTTTGTTTCTTATTTAACACATATTCGTTGAGGGCCTACTATCTGCCAGACACACACAGTTGCTTGGAATGCACCAGTGAATAAACATAAGAAATAGATAAATGGGATACATGAATATGGGATGGCAGAAAGTTCCATGTGGAGTAAAAGGACAGGCAAGGGAGTATAGTGTCAGGATGGGCATGGGAGGTGGTAGATCAGTTTCAAAGAGGGTGACCAGAAAGTCTCATAGGTGGTCTGAGTCTACCTGAGGGAAGTGAGGGCAGTGCCATTCACATATCTGGAGGTTGAATGTTCCAGGCAGGTAGAACAGCTGTATGAAGTCCTCCAATGGGACATGTCTGGCTTGCTTGAGAAATAGCAAGGAGCCAGAGGGGCTAGAGGAATTTTATGCTTATTATGTGCTTGGAAAAAAATAAGAAGAAAGTGTCATACTTCAGAGTTTTGGGGAAGGTCAGCTAGTGGATCAAGGACTCCACAATTCCTTCTTCAAAATCATCAAACATCACTTAGGGTTTCTATTTTATTAAAATCTAATGGTAGGACTTAGTATTATATAAAATGGATTTCATCATTGGAATAATCTCTCAGCCAAAAGAAACTGCCATTTATATTGGGAAAGCAGGAAATAACATTATTTATCTAAGTATACAGAATATTAGTGGATCCAAAAGAAGCATATATTACAGTATTTAGAGTAAATACTAATAGTTTTAATCCAATTTCTTAGATTTCAAATTATTAGGAACTTATTTGCTAGACTACATTAATTAGAGACATTTATCATTTCATATGCCTTATTATGTCATCCTCCCCTAAGAAGATGATAGTTGAACTTACACCTAGATTTATAAAATAGAAATGCTGCAAAGATATATGGTATAGCTAAAAATGCTAGACTTCAGTTCTAGGGCTGTGCTATCCAACACAGTAGCCATTCACCACCAATGCCTACTCAGCCTTGAAATATGGCTGGTCCAAACTGCGATGTAAAATTGAAAGTGTAAAATGTGCCCTGGATTCCAAAAACTTAGAAGGAAGAAAATAATGTTAAATATTTAATTTGTAAATGTTTATATTGATTGATTATATATTATTAAAATAATAATATTTTGGATATAATTGGTTTAATAAAATGTTAATTTCATCTCTTTCTCTTTACTTTTTAAATAGGACTACTAGAAAACTTAAACTTACATATGCAAATTACATTTCTGTTGGGTAGCACTAGGCTAGAGCATAGGTATTTTTTTGTGTGGCCCATGAGTTAAGAATGCTTTTTACATTTTTAAATGGTTAAAAAAGGCCATGCGCAGTGACTCACACCTGTAATCTCAGCAATTTGGGAGGTTGAGGAGGGTGGATCACTTGAGGTCAGAAGCTCAAGACCAGCCTGGCCAACATAGTGAAAGCCCCTTCTCTACTAAAAATAACAAAAATTAGCCAGACACGGTGGCATGTGCTTGTAGAGACAGCTACTCAGGAGGCTGAGGCACAAGAATCGCGTGAACCCAGGAGGTGAAGGTCACAGTGAGCCAAGATCATGCCACTGCACTCCAGCCTGGGTGACAGAGCGAGACTCCATCTCAATCAATCAACCAATCAGGCTAAAAATATATGTTGTTATATGAAAATTATGTACAGTGTAAATTTCAGCATGACAAGTAAATTCTAATGCTTTTCATTAGTAGAATTGCCTTGTAAAAAATTATGCTCAATTATTATAATTTGAATTTTGTCAGTAAAAAATTTGTGGAAATTTGTTTCCCTTCCAGTTAAATAAATACCTGTATAATATCCTAAATTTTGCTACTTATCCCACAAAGCCAGAAGTGCTAACTTCCTGGATCTTTGCAGAAAGTTTGCTGACTTCTGATCTACAGGGTTAGGTTAGAGTTTGGGCTGTTCACCAAGTATTGCTGGATGTCCTTGCTAAGTCCCTAATAACAGTATCTCCAAGGCAATTTCATTATTTGTAACTGAGGATAGTAACTGATTTCAGGGTTGTTAAAAGAGCAAATGAGAAATCATATGTATAAGAAAGGTCGCTTATTTTTAACTGCAATACAAAAACATGGTTAAAAATAGAGATAAAATTGGTTCAGGTTTCCATTGTCCTGACCTGGTGAAGTTAATATGCACATGCCTTTGATGAGATATGATAAACGCATACATGACACTGTTACTAATAGCCCTTTCCTGTGCTCTTTTCTTGAAGTTGAACGAAGAAGAAGATTTAACATAAATGACCGCATTAAAGAACTAGGTACTTTGATTCCCAAGTCAAACGATCCGTGAGTACAATTGCATGTTAATCTGCATCATATATTTTTCGCACCTGAATGTTTTTTCGTATGTTGTAAGAAATGCAGTTGTAAAAACTAAAGTTAAGAAGTCTCTCCTTCTCCCTTTGTTTCTGTTCCTAAATTCTTCTTACAGCTTTCTTTTGGTTAGTCTCATCGAACTAAAACTTCAAGACAAAAGCATTGAACTGTGCAAAAGGACTATGAAACACTAGATGCTTTGGTTGTGCCTTTCTGAAACCTAAGAATTATTTGCAAACAAATACTGAGCTTAAAAAAAGAATGCCTTTAATGGTTGATGAAGCACAGTACTTTCAACGGCTGTTAAAGCTGGATTTGTTGACTGTTTGCTCTTTGACTTGTACAGTGTCTCTAAATAGGCACTGATGAACAGACATTAGAGACTTCAAGTTTAATGATATTCAACAGACAAAAAAGGTCAATTGCTTTTATGAAAACTTGCCTACTTTTTGTATGTTTTACCATTCAAGGGGAAAAAAAGTAATGCTTTAATCCTCCTATTAAGCACAGGTCAGCTAATTTGGATTTCAGCTTTTGGTCTCTTTACCTACCCTGCCCCTTTCAGAGATCACAGCTGTGAAGGTAATTTTCTCAAGTCTTTCTTAACAGCCTATAGTTACCTGCAACATCAGCAGATAGGACAACAAACACACAGTTTTTATCCATTAGAACTTGGCCCATTTGAAGCAAGGGGCTAGAAAATGTATACATTTTAATGGCCCCCACAGGCATTCTATGAAATTAGCCTTTGAATATGACCTTTTAGCTACCTAATAAAATGTAAAGATGAAATCAAGTATTATTCATGCAAGGCTTATTAAATTTGCTATTCATATTATTGTTAAGAGAATTTGTAAGAAAATAAAACCATTACCTATTGTGAGGTGATTTTCATGAATGTACAGGTACGATTTCATCTTCAATGTTTTGCTTTCCCAGGTTTCAAAGAAAGGCATTTTCAAACCTGAAACATTTCAAATTCTCAGTTCTGCAGCACAAATTTATCCTACTAAAGGGCTGTGACCTTCATTTCCTATAGTCAGTCTTGCATGATAGTTGAAATTGAATTCCCATTTTCCTGTTCTTTATCAGCTTTCACTTTTTAGCATATTCTTTTAAACTGTAGCATGTGAATCTCTTTAGCAACATATTATGAAACTATGGGGCTGCAGTGAAAGCCTCTATTTGCATATCGCCTTTCCCCATTGTATTAGAATACTTACGTGTTTATAATCTGAACTGATAATGATCTTTAATTGTAGGCATTGTTTTAAGATAAAACTGACTATAATCTTTATGGTGGTTTTCCCACACCAGGTTTCTATAATGTACCTTGGGGCTGCTATAGAGACACAGTCTTACAGAACTGGGGTCTCAGCCCTGTACCTTTTCTCCCACCAGAGCAAGTCTGCTTTTCTTGATCTTTTATAATGGAGACCTGTGTACACTATTCTATGAAAAAAGAGTCCCTCTTATTACCAAACAAAAAAAGTTTGAAAACCCTTTCTTAAACTCAGAAGCATAATTGATTGACTGGATCTCACAAGGAAGCAAAACCCAAGATAACTGGTTGAAACAATCATGTATTTTAAACTGAGTGACTGCTCAAATATCCCAATTCTGATTTCTCATCTTGCAAGCCTATGTGAAGCATCATTTATTTTAATTACATTTCTCTCTGGCTGCTAAAGTTACTTCTCTTACTTTGGTCTTAGCTCTGAACATTAAGTCTCTGTGCTCACTTTGGGTATCTCAGGACATTTGCCTGGGTTGCCGTCTTTGGTGTTCAGACTCCAGGGATCAACCCCAGGGAATTCTCTGGGGCCTGCAACTGTTCCTTTCATGGGAGATTGTCTGTTTTGTTCTTAATGTAACCCATATGAGGATCGATTGTTTGGTGACTTGTTTAGTGACCCTCCGCTCATCAGTTCCACCTGATACTTCCAATCTGGTTTTGGCAGCTATAGATTATGGGATGGATGGTTCTCCATACATCACATTGTTTTTGTTTTCATCATCATACTTGTCATCATTATGATGAATATTGTCTATAAAAGGATTCAGATAATTTAAAGCAATATAGAAATATTACTTATGTAATTATAGTTCATTATTTTTCTGGAGTGCTATTTTTTTTAAAGTACTTTTACCTACATATTAATGGTGTTCTCAATTTTCTCATATACAAGTATATCGAAGCTCTACTGATTAAGAGCTGAGAGACATCAACTTTAGGCTGCCTAGCTTGGAATTCCAAAACAGTTTCTTACTAAGTGTCTAACTTTGGGGAAGATACTTGCATTCTTGTGCTTCATTTTTCTCATCTGTTAAAAAGGGGGACATCAAAATCTTCTTACCTAGTCTAGTTGCTTTGAGGACTCAATCACATAAAAGGAAGTATGATATAGTGGCTTAGAGCACGGAGTTGAGAGCCAGAGTCCCTAGACTTCCTGGCTCTGCCACTTTCTAGCTCTGTGACCTTGGGCAAATTATTTAACCTCTGTGCTTCAGGTTCCAGTCAGTAAAATGGCGATCATATTAGTACCTACTCATTAAGGTTGTTTTGCTTATACGAGTTGTAAAGTATTTTTGAAAGTGTCTGGCACATAGTAAATGCTATCGAAAGATAGCTATCAGCATGACTATATTGAGCCTTTAATACAGTGCTCATTCCATTATTTGAATTGTGTTTTTAACTTTCCAACAGCACATTCATGTAAAGTGGCTCCTTTGATTCCAATAACATACTTACTAGGCTGCTTACACAAGTATAGTATCATCATTTTGTATATGAGGAAACAGATACAGAGAGAAGCTACATAGCCTGCCCGTGATAATTCATGATAAAAAAAAAAAAATAGAAGGATGCCAGTTTTATGCCACAAATAATTTAGTAGTGAGATCTCACAGATCTGTTTTACCATAGTTTATTTTTAGTGAGTGAACTTTTATAGTTTTAGAAACCTGTAACTGTTTAATATAGTGTTTAAGAAAACTGACTTTGTAATCAACAGACCTAAAGTCCTGGCTCTACCATATGGTAGTTGTGGGGCCTAGGACAAGTTGAATTGTCTGTGTTTCAACATGTGCACCAAGTCTCTGTCTCACAAGGTGCTTGTCTGGGTTAAGTAAGACAATGTATACTAACAGGGTGGGCAACGTTAGGCACGTGGCAAACACTCATGAATGGTAGCTATTACTAATGTATGATTATTGTATCTTTTATTTCTTTTGAGACAGAGTCTCACTCTGTTGACCAGGCTGGAGTGCAGTGCCACCATCTCAGCTAACCACAAACTCTGCCTCCTGGGTTCAAGCAATTGTCTTGCCTCAGCCTCCTGAGTAGCTGGGATTATAGGCACATACCACCTTGCCCAGCAAATTTTTGTATTTTTAGTAGAGACAGGGTTTCACCATGTTGGTCAAGCTGGTCTCAAACTTCTGACCTCATGATCCACCCACCTCAGCCTCCCAAAGTGCTGGGATTATAGGTGTGAGCCACCGCTCCCGGCCTGGTTATTATATCTTTAAAATTGAATGCTTTTAAAAATGATACAATAGACTTTGGGGACTTGGGGGGAATGTAGGGGCAGGGGAAGGTGGATGGGGGATAAAAGACTACACTCTGGGTACAGGGTACATGGCTTGGGTGATGGGTACACCAAAATCTCAGAACACCACTAAATAATTTATCCATGTAACCAAGCACCACTATTCCCAAAACTATTGAAATAAAATAAATAAAAAAAAAAACCATTCAGAAAAAGAGAAATGGAATGCTTTAAATATTGAATTTTCATTGAGCCTCAAATCCTAAAAATGTCTATTTTCCTTCATTTTCATCGCAGAGACATGCGCTGGAACAAGGGAACCATTTTAAAAGCATCTGTTGACTATATCCGAAAGTTACAACGAGAGCAGCAACGCGCAAAAGAACTTGAAAATCGACAGAAGAAACTGGAGCATGCCAACCGGCATTTGTTGCTCAGAATACAGGTACACGGCCTGAGTTGTGTAAAGTTTACTGCTTGTTACCAACTTCAAGACAGGACATAATGAGCCATAGGGGAGTTGACTTACATGATCCTAACACAGTGAAATCTTATTATTTGTGGATTCTGTATTTGTGAATTTGCCTACCTGTAACTCCAAAATCAGTATCTGTGGCACATCCACAGTCATTCTCGGACACGTGCAGAGTGGCAAGTTTGGGCTGCCCATGGCACGCATTTCCAGGTGAGACTGAGTGACCCTGCCCAAGGTTCACTGCTTTCTTGTTGCAACTCTCATCCTCTAAACAAGTGCTTATTTCATGGTCTGTTCAGTGCTTTCTACATTTTTGTGGTTTCTGTTGGTGATTTTGCTGTTTAAAGTGACCCCCAAGCATAATGCTGAAGTGCTGTCTAGAGTTCCTGAGAGCAAGAAGGCCGTGATGTGCCTTACAGAGAAAATACAGGCGTTGGATAAGCTTCATTCAGGTATGAGTTACAGTGCTATTAGCTGTGAGTTGAATATTCATGAGTCAACAACATATATTACATGAGGTTACCTTCCACAGAAACATACATAAAACAAGATTAAGTGTTATGACTAGGGTCTCACAGGAACCTAACCCTGCAATTCTCCTAGGAACAATGCTTCAGTGTTCACCAGTTCACTGTTCACAGTGACTTTATAGAACATAAAAAAATAAGCACTGACTATAGACATTAAATAAAAAGATGGCTTACTATTTGCAGGGTCGGGGAAGCAGTCGATGGTCAAAGTGTGGGTTTATAGGGAACTTGGGGACACCCAGAGGATCTTATGCTAAGGACATAATTCTTGGAGATAGTTATAAATGCTGGAATTGTAATATATATATCTTTCACTTAAACTATACACCCTTAGAAGAAGACATACTAATTTTATTAACCATGTGCCATTTGTGCATCATCCCGTTCAGTGAGTATATGCACCAGTGTAAGCAGGAGATGGGAAATTCCTCTTTGTTTCAGCTCCTGGAACTGCTCTCAGGTGCTTGGCCTCTCTTGCTGAGTGAAAGGACACTATTTCCTCTGAAATGATTCTCAAAAGCGGACTCTCTGTTATTGACCAAATGGGGTTTGTGAGGGTAATGTTAATTTGCTGACTTTGAACACAACCTATCTGAAAGAGTCAATGGCACCATATCTTCTTCTTGAGTAGACTGATACACCTTTTACTGGATTTTGCCATAAAGCAAGGGTTGTCTTTCAACTTTTCAGTGCAACTATTCATGGAGTTATTTTATGAAACAGCAATGAGAAATATGACATCCTAGATACCATTGTGTTTCACTTAGCGGTGTTCCTCCCGGAAGTTGAACTTTTCGGACAGAGCAATTCATTTATAATAATGGTCTCCAGTCTTCTGAATGCTTATATTTTGAGATGCCACATCTCTCATTCACTGCAGCAATTCCTTGGCTGTGGGGCAGGGAGGTGGGAAGCCGCTCCTCTGTAGGGGTGCTTTAGACTCTGGGTAGGGAAGTAGAGTTGTGTGTAATTTGAAAGTCCTACTTTCCCCTCCCCTCCTCTACTTTGGCTTTATTTGTTGGTTTTATGTTCTGTCTCTTCAATAAGTAGCCATAGGTATTTAATCTCTTGAACATAGTCTACCCATTTATAAAAGCAGCTTGTGGCCGAGCACGGTGGCTCATGCCTGTAATCCCAGAACTTTGGGAGGCTGAGGCAGGTAGATCCCAAGGTCAGGAGTTTGAGACCAGTCTGGCCAACATGGTGAAACCCTGTCTCTACTAAAAATATCAAAAAAAATTAGCTGGGAGTGGTGGCAGATGCCTGTAATTCCAGCTACTTGGGAGGCTGAGGCAGGAGAATCACTTGTACCCACGAGGCGGAGGTTGCAGTGAGATGAGATTTCACCATTGCGCTCCAGCCTAGGCAACAGAGCAAGACTGTGTCTCAAAAAAAAAAAGCAGCTTGTACTAATGTGTCATTTCCTTTTACAAGTATTACAATATAATAACTATTTTGAAAGAGAAGCTAGGTTTTGTTTTATTTTAGGGTTCCAAACATGTATATTCATATGAAATATGAATATTGTGAAATATGTGCATTGGAAATTCCATGGTGACGCTATCTTGGTTTTCTTCCAATGACGGTGTGAGGCAGCCTTTAGAACTTTTGCATATCACAGAAAACATTATTAATTAGGAAAGCTCTGCGATGCAACAAAGCCAGAGTTCTCTAGATGATATTTATCACCTTATTTAGAAATCTGAGTAATGCTTTAATCAACTGATAAATATTTTTAATTAAACAACAAAGGATTAGAGTGAGATGTTTGCCTCTCTTAATCCAACTTTATTATTCTTTTTCTGAAAAGACAATCTGCATGTGTGGAGGTGCTATTCTTACTGGCATGTGCTGTAGATTTACAAGAGTCCATGTTTTCAGCCTGGGCCTAAGGGCTTTCTTTCATTTTCACTCTAAGTGATTCACGCAAAAGTTTTCACAGAAGAAAGAGCATGACACCTTAATATTGGTGGAACTGCCATGGTATTAAATAGCCCAGGGCTTTAAAATGATGCCTGAAGAAACTTGTGTTTCTGGAGATTATGTAAAGGAACTTGAAGTTACTTGTGTGACATCTCAAGCTCCTGACTCTTACTCGTATTGCATCCAAAAAAGGATTTTGCAGACCCCAAAACCTTGAATTTAGACTGAATGTGGCTTTTCAGGCACGTATGTTTCTCAGCTTGTGGGCAAAGGTTGAAAGGCCATGTCATGTGGACAGTCCTTCCCCTCTCTGATAAGGAAAGGTGACTTGCTTTGAATTTATATTCTATTGCTATACGTTATTGTTTCACAGTCATGGAAGTGATAGCATTTGAATGGAGAAGCAGAATGCTTATCAGGACTCAATTATAGTCTCTATGGTTCATTTTAGGAATGCCCAGGGATACTCAGAAAGGAAAAAGGGAAAGAGCTTGTCTGGAAGGCATTTTGCCATGAGATACAGGGGGAGTCAATGGCATTTAGGAAGTGCATTAGTCAGCTAGTGCTGCTGTAGTGAAGTGACACTGACTGGGTGGGAAACAGTAGTTATTTTCTCACAATTCTGGAGGCTGGTTGTCCAAGATCAAGTTGTCAGCAGGGCTGGTCCCTTTCAAGGCCTCTCTCCTTGGCTTGTAGATGGCCGTCTTCTCCCTGTGTCTTCACATGGTCTTCTTTCTGTGTGCACCTGTCCCAATCTCCTCTTCTTATAAGGACACTGGTCCTATTGGGTTGAGGCCCACCAGTATGATCTTATTTTAAATTAATCACCTCTTTAAAGGCCCTATATTCAAGTACAGTCACATTCCAAGGTATTCAGTTTAGGACTTCAACATTCAAATTTTTTCCAGGACACAGTTTAGCCAATAATAGGAATGTATGTGAGGAGGAAAGGAAAAAAGTTGTTCATCTTATGGATGAGAACTTACTTGTTGAGTTAAAAAACGTACTTCCCCTTTGCCTTGGTGAGATGGGTTAAATGATGCTTCTAAAACTTAGTTAGTTGCATAGAACTTTCATAACTTTTGTTGTCACTACCCAAACTTTTTTACTTTATGGCACTCTTAGTGCTTTAGCAATCTTTTACCATCTCCCTAGACCCAAAGAAATACCTACTCTTTTTGTTAGGTCCAAACAACTTGTTAAGTATTTAGGTTCTATCAACTTGGTAGCCATTTGAAAAAAATAAAACATATCAATTGAAAGGAAAATATCATTTTTATTTTGTTATTAAATAACCACAGTACTTACTAACTGGACGCGTGTGCCTGTTGGGCACTGCACAACTTCTAAAGCCTTGGAATCAGAATGGACACCACCACCTTTGTTTCCCAGTCCACAATGATGTTCATGAAGCCCTTATTTTTCTTTAAGTATGGCAACCGCCAAAAGCTCAACTCTGCAATGTTACGATGTGGTTGAAAAGTATATAGCATTTCAATCTGATACTGAAAGAGAACTGTCTTGAGTTTAGTAGTTCTCAGGTAGTATTGCCATTGCCCTTGAAAGGTAGGACATCTCCAGTGCTCTGTGAGTTCATTGCAGCACCCGTGGGGACCTCAGTGCACAGTTGAAGGACCATGAAAATACATTATTCTTTACTAAATATTATTGTTAGGTCACATTTAAAACTTCATTTATATATTTTTCAACTTATCCTCAGTGTGAATATTAATATATGTGAGAGACCATCTCTCTATTTTGAACACATAATCAAATTTATAAAACACCTAAAATTTATTTCACATACTACCAATGGTACCTCTACTATAGGATATTCAGAACTTATTAATTTAAAAGAACAAAAAACTTTTATTTTGAGGATTTATTGTTTTCCAATTATTTGTTTTATTTATTTATTTATTATTATTATTTTTTGGAGACAGAGTCTTCCTCTGTCACCCAGGCTGGGGTGTAATGGCGTGATCTCAGCTCACCGCAACCTCCACCTCCCAGGTTCAAGCAGTTCTCCCTGCCTCAGCCTCCCAAGAAGCTGGGATTGCAGGCGCCCACCACCATGCCCAGCTAGTTTTTGTACTTTTAGTCAAGACGGGGTTTCACCATGTTAGCCAGGCTGGTCTTGAACTCCTGACCTCAGGTGATCTGTCTGCCTTGGCCTCCAAAGTGCTAGGATTATAGGCGTGAGCCACCACGCCCAGCCATCCAATGTATCTGATTTTTTAAAGTAGACTTTATTTTTTAGAACAGAATTTTAGTTTTTGGTTCACAGCAGAACTGAGATGAAGCTGCAGATATTTTCCATATACCTCCTGCCCCCAAGCATGTACAGCCTTCCCCATTATCAACATTCCCTACCAGAGTGGCACATTTATTAGGATCAAGGAACCTGTAGTAACGTTTCATTATCCTCCAAAGTCTATACTTTACATTCCCTCTTGGTGTTGTACATTTTGTGGGTTTGGCCAAATGTCTAATGACATGCACCTACCATTATAGTATCATGTAGAGTGGCTTCACGGGCTTAAAAGTCCCCTGTGCTCTGCCCATTTCAGTATTTTATCTTTACTCTTTTTATAGGAACTTGAAATGCAGGCTCGAGCTCATGGACTTTCCCTTATTCCATCCACGGGTCTCTGCTCTCCAGATTTGGTGAATCGGATCATCAAGCAAGAACCCGTTCTTGAGAACTGCAGCCAAGACCTCCTTCAGCATCATGCAGACCTAACTTGTACAACAACTCTTGATCTCACGGATGGCACCATCACCTTCAACAACAACCTTGGAACTGGGACCGAGGCCAACCAAGCCTATAGCGTCCCCACAAAAATGGGATCCAAACTGGAAGACATCCTGATGGACGACACTCTTTCTCCTGTTGGTGTCACTGATCCACTCCTTTCGTCAGTGTCCCCCGGAGCTTCCAAAACAAGCAGCCGGCGGAGCAGTATGAGCATGGAAGAGACGGAGCATGCTTGTTAGCAAATCCTCCCTGCACTGCATTCGCACAAACTGCTTTCTTTCTTGATTCATAGATTTAATAATTTACCTGAAGGGGTTTTCTTGATAATTTTCCTTTAATATGAAATTTTTTTTCATGCTTTATCAATAGCCCAGGATATATTTTATTTTTAGAATTTTGTGAAACAGACGTGTATATTCTATTTTACAACTACAAATGCCTCCAAAGTATTGTACAAATAAGTGTGCAGTATCTGTGAACTGAATTCACCACAGACTTTAGCTTTCTGAGCAAGAGGATTTTGCATCAGAGAAATGTCTGTCCATCTTATTCAGGGGAAACTTGATTTGAGGTTTTTATGCCTGTGACTTCCTTGGAAATTAAATGTAAAGTTTAATTGAAAGAATGTAAAGCAACCAAAAAGAAAAAAAAGAAGAGGAAAAGAAATCCATGCTAACCCTTTTCCATTTTATGTCTATTGATTCATTGGTACTGCCTTAAAGATACAGTACCCCTCTAGCATTGTTTAGTGTTTATACTGCAACTATTTAAAGAAATACTGTATTCTGTGAAACACAAAAAATGCAGCCTTTTCATGAGAATCATCTGGTTAGAAAACATAACTGATACCAACCGAAATTTAAGGGAGTTAGACCAAGGCTCTGAAATATGAAGTCTAATCTTGCTCTCTTTTATTGTGCTGTTACAGTTTTCTTCATCAATGAGTGTGGTTCAGTTTTTCGTAAGATATATTTTATTTTGAAATGGAAATTAATGTCCTCTCAACGTAAAATGTTGAGGGGCACTGAAAGTATGTTTTACTCTTTTTTTTTTCACTTTTGCTTTTGATAAGAAAACCAAACTGGGCATATTTCTAATTGGCTTTACTATTTTTATTTTTAAATTATGTTTTACTGTTCATTTGCTTTGTACAGATTCTTTATTATCATTGTTCTTTTCAATATGTTTGTATTAATTTGTAAGAATATGCATCTTAAAATGGCAAGTTTTCAATATTTTTACAATTCACTGGTGGTTTTCCGCATTCTTTGTACACCCATGAAAGAAAACTTTTATGCAAGGTCTTGTGTTTAAAAGACAGCTTTGAGAATATTTTATATATTACAGTCTCGCCCGGAACTGTTTTTAGACACATTTTAAGGTGTAGTATTAATAGGTTAAAACCAGGCTTTCTAGAAAGAATAAACTTACATATTTATTTTTAGGATATGAAAATAGCAATATTCTTGGAGATGGATAACCATAGCATTAATACGCCCATTATGGCCATTTAATTGGGGTTCATTTCAGCAAACTTGCTGAATTTTGTTTTAAAGAAAGAAATACTGTATTGGCAAATTACTGTTACTTGATAACCATGTTTTAACAAGGAGCAATGTTGTAAAGTTAGTTTCAGTGCATTATCTACTTGTGTAGTCCTATGCAATAACAGTAGTGTCACATGTATCAAGCCTAGATGTTTTATACAGATGCCATATAGTGTTATGAGCCAGGCTGTTGAATGGAATTTCTCAGTAGCAGCCTACAATTGAATAGCAAGTGGCATAAAGCATATCCATTCAGAATGAAGTGCCTTAAATATAGCAGTAGTCTTTTTTGGACTAGCACTGACTGAACTGTAATGTAGGGGAAAGTTTCAAGATGGTATCTATAGTCAAGAGGAACATGTAGCATGGTGCCTATGTAGACAATATAAGAGCTTCCAATTTTCCTTCAGATATTTTTAATATTAAATATATTTTAGTGACAGAGTGCCAACTTCTTTCATCAGGAAACCTTATTCAGGAGGGTTTTTTTTAAAGTGTTTAAATGTCAAATGTGAATTGGTGATGGGTGATGGAGGGTTCAGAGAGAAGGAGTGATCGTCAGATGTGTGAATGAACGGTTTAGGTGAAAATAATCAACTGCATAGTTCCCATGCACGCTGGGCAATGAGAATCCTTGGAAACATTGGTGATGCTATCAGTTTTATAGCTTTATTACTTAAGGGGGTAGGGAAAATTACTTCCCATTCTTTCAACCCCTTTAACTGTATAGCTCTTTTCCTAGAATAGTGATGCAAATCTGCATGAACAGCTAATTGTACCATAGTATTCATTGATACAATCATAGCATTGTCTATTTTTCTCTTCATATTTATATGGGGGGGGCGGGCGCTGGATGCGAAAGTTGAAGATCTTGATGCTATGATATTAGTTTTCCTTAGCTGACTTTGAGGGTTTTTAAAAATAAAGCAAGGTTGACTAACCTATGGCCAAGGGAACAGGACCATGGTTAAGCAACCATATAGAAAGCTTTGTTGAAAGAAAGTATGGCATCTTGTACCACTGCCCTGACTGTTGCAACTCCTAACCTTGCCATTGCCTGCCTCCCCATCCCCTTCTCCTTAAGAGACAATTTTTGCAGGTGGCAGGTGAGCAAGCACAGGAGAATGCTGCAATCTTGGGGGTGGTTTTATTTATTTCTTTTTGCCAAATAGAGTGTGGATTCGTTTTAGGCATTAGTTAAGCCAAGAGGCAGTGGTTTGGGCTTGTCGTTTGTAATGAGAAAACGATCCACATCACTCCCCCTATCCTTGGGTACAGAATTGTGACTCGAGGTTGGACCTCCGTATGGAGTGACCAAAATGCCGAAATTGTCCGTCTGCCTCTGGGTAGGACAATGGAAATACCAAACTTTCTGACTTCGCCAAAAAGCATACAAGCAACCTGGTCATATATAGGATGACAAAATTCTTTCTGGTTGTTTTCAAACAATAAAGCAATAAGAACAAATACAATATACAATACATAGGAAGTTAAAAGATATAAAGCACAAAGGAATGCACTTATTAATATTTTTTAAAAATGCACTGGGAAAAAGTTGATGTCAATAACAGTAGAAAAAAGCCCTATTTCTTGATAAAAATGATAAATGACTGCCTCTTGCAGATGCTTGGTACTGTAATGTTAATAATAGTCACCTGCTGTTGGATGCAGCAATAACTTCTGTGTGGTCCATAGCACTGTATATTATGGATCGATATTAATGTATCCAATGAAATAATCGACTTGTTCTTGATAGCCTCATTAAAGCATTTGGTTTTTCACATAGTGGTGGCCTATTGTGTTAATGCCAATTTTGAACGTTATTTGCCTTATCAAAAAATGGTAGTGCACATTTTCTTCTGATTTAATGAATAGCAAATTGCATGAAAAATTTTAAAGTGCCAGTAAGTACTTTTTTTTTGTTTAAAATGCCACTCTAAGATGTTACTTTTTGGTTTTAAACATTTTTGATTACTTTATGACTTACACTCAGATGAGCTATAATTATGCAGCTTTTTTATCCCCCTCAGAATTTGGGGAGATTTTAAACTCCCAAATACCAAGACTTCGTTTTAGATATAGGAGTTTTATTTAAAATGTTTCAGTGAGAGGTGGCTTTAAAAAAGAGAAATTGTCAGAGAAACCCTTGCATATTTACAGAAAAGATACTGGGTTTTTAAAATACAAATTTACAATAATGAAAGCTTAATATACTCCAGCTGCCAGCTCCTAGTTGCTTTTTTTTTTTTTTGAATACACTACTTAAGAATCATTTGATAAATGCTGGATTTGAATTGGGAAGTGTCAGACAAAACATGTCTTTATTCCCTAGCTAGACCTTAAACTTCTGCCCTTTTAAAAAATATATTCTGGTTTAACCTCTGGAGAAAATGAGCAAGAAACTTCCTGTAATGCTTCTGATCTGACTGTCAGCTTTTTCCTACGTTTAATTTTCTTCTTAAATTATAATATACAATAATCAAGGCCTTTCTTTTTCAGATCTATTTGAATTATTTATATTTTCCCTAGAAGTATGACTGTAGGATGTCTTTAAAACGTGTAAAAGTAAGAAGATTTCCTTTTGGAACAAGAGAATATTCTAGGCAAAATCAAAAGCAGGTAAGTTGAAAATTGGGGCTTTTCATCTCCAGGGATCTGCAGCAATACCTGCACCCACATTTCTGTCCTGGCATTTACCAGTTAACAGCCACTACACAGCCCATAAAGATCCTTCATATTCAGCTTCCCCCCAACCCAACCACACACAATTACGTATTACAGTGGTGTTACCTGAAGATTGGACATTTGCCTACAATGTGTATGACTTCATTTGATATCCACAGACTTTAATTTCTTAAAAATTGATTAAGCCAATTTATTTTCAAATAAAGTATATCCATTCAATCACCACACATGGCCTCTCAGTTCATCTTCCTGGATTTGAATCTTATCTCTGCCCATTTCCAGCTCTGTGATTTTGTGCAAGTTACTTGGACAAAATAACTTGCCTCCAAAGTAGCTACCACATAATAGTCTTGTGAAGACCATTCGAGTTAATAATAAATACTAGAATTTGTGCTTGACAGCATGTAGTAAATGCTCAGTAAATGGTAGATCTTCTTATAATAATCATCTTCATTACTAAAATGGAAAATACTTTCTGGACCAACTAAAATCATTGTATGTATTAGCAGTGACGTGCACACCACATTTGGCAAAGCACTGAATCACAGCATAGATTGAAGATGTGTATAAACTGCCAGGGACAAAAAAGCCACAGGGGATTTTGGAGAAAAGGACCTTGCTGTCTGTAAGACCTAGGGTAAGAATATTTTAGATAATTAATAATAAACTCAATGTATCACATTAAAATATCTTCAACAGAAATGAAATTTAAATTGTTTTAAACCTGTACATTCTGCATGTGTTCTTCTGCCATGAGAATAATTATATTATTTCCAGAAAATATGCCTTGCTGAAGGTGAAATCTCTATTATATTCCCTAGAAAATTAAACTTTTTAATCCTTTGTGATATACACTGATATTATACAGCTAAGAGTGGTGTCTTGACTATATTCTGTCTTCAGTTTCCTATCAATATTGAAATGTTTTTCAGGATTTTATTTTCAATTGTACTTATATTTGATGACTTCTTTGGAAAATGATCTGAGGAGTTAATCTTCATAATCCAGCCAACATAAATGAACTGTTAGAATTACCCTGTTTTTATTTTTTTGTGTATGCCAAATTTAATGCATAGCCAAGTAGCATGAGGAAAGCTCATTTAAGAGGAGTGTTGTAAAGTTAGATTTTCATTATATTTAGAGAGAAGTGGTGATGATCTCTTAATTCTTTTCTGCCACATCTGAGGCTCAGTTGCAGTGGCTTTATGTCTGCATCCATAATAACATGAATCCATAATACACGTCTGAACAGAGTGTAAGTGAAGAAGCTTGTATTATCCTGGTTTTCCCAAGAGGCATATATCCTCCTCCTCTCAAAAAAGTATACAGTAAATCTCTTATATTTAAATTGTCAAGGTCCTGTATATATGTAAAATTTAGACATGGTTAATTCTATTTGTGTTCAATATTTGTAGGTCTTTTGAGCCTATTACCTATACCAGATACACTGGAAAGTAATATGAGTATACACAAAACCAAATAAATTTCAGCAACACGTATAAATGGTAAAGACAGTTTGCTTTGGAGAAATTTGCATTTTAAATTTCTAATTATGGAGTCAGTTGAAGATATATCCAAATGGGTGCAATTGTCACTCAAAATTCCTCACATATTATTCAGACAGCAAAATCTATGTAAATAGAAACCACGAAACTAGTGTTTCCCAAACTTCACTTTATGGAACTAGTTCCACAAGCTGTTGCACAAGTTGCTTTGAGGAATGGAGGTTTGGAGGTGGGCTGGGGTGGGGAAATGCTATATGGTAGTTAATTTTGAGGAAGTTAGCTTTGGGAAGTGCTGAGCTAAACAGATTTGAACAGGTATCTGTACTACAAGACTTGTCACATTCTAAATTATACTAATGTGATTGAGTAATGTTTCCCAGTCTCCTTTGGCCACAGGATTTTGTGTGTGTGTGTGTGTGTGTGTGTGTGTGTGTGTAAGACACCTGCTAATGGTTCCAAAGAACAGAGTTTGGGAAATTCTGGAAATTTTACAGAAATTATTTAAACTCTCTCTCTATATATATTTTGTTTTCCTAAGGACAATATGCTTACATTTGTTTATGATCTCACAGGTAGAAGTCATTGTCATTAAAAAATTATTATTCTGAAGAAACAAATTAGCTTAGGTTTTCATCTCCATTGAAAATGTAAAATTCTGGTTAAGGAAACTTTTGCCATTAAAACATTGTTATTTCTGAATTTAAAAAGTGACATGTTTTCATTTTCAATGAAAATATTCACCCTGGTTATGCACGTGTTCAATGTACCCTTTTCTATGAGTGGTTCAAATAAAAAGTTCTTTATGTTGAATGTCTCCCACATCTTTAAATGTGGACAACCTAATGTTTAGGAAATATTTGGTTTATGACTTTAGGTTCTGCTCACCAGTTTTTGCTAGAAGGACATCAGGAAGAATTGTACGGTATTCAGAATTGATGTAGTCTTGTCAATGACTCTTTTTCAATGAAGGTAAGTCCTGACAGATGGACCGTTGTATCTCCAAAGTTTGGTTGTTAATTGATTATAGGTCAACACACAAGAGCTATGTTAATCCTTATATACCTGTAGCATATTATAGGACTTAATAAGATTCTTCTGAAATTTAAACACTGTATTACGAAGCCCAAGTGAAAATACATTAGCACATCTTTTCCACTCCTTACAGATGAGATCACAGATTCTTTCATTCACCGTCTTTTAAAAATACTGTTTTCATACTTCACTCTTTGCCTAGCAATAAACAGTGAACAGAGGAATGCTACTCCAGTGGAATGAAGGAATGTATTGGCTCATATTACCATAACGTCCAAATGGCAAATATAACTTCATGTATGCCTGGGTTCAAGGGCTCAAACAAGCGTTCAATCTGCCTGTGTCTAATTTGTTTTGTACCAACTTCCTCTTGGAGGTAGGTCTTCACCACGAGGTCCCCTCTGATAGTTTCAAAGTCTAGTTGAAAGCCAGCACCTCTTTTGCAGTAGCTGTGAAGTCCCTGTAATAGCTCTGATCGGGCCTACTTGGTGATCACCATATGATCACCATAACCTAAAAGTGGAACACACCAGATGGCTGTGTCTGGGTCATGTGTCCACCCTGCTAGATTCACTCAGCAGCACCTAAACCTTGTGCACCAAGAGACAAGGTGGGACTCACCCAGACTCCAAAGGGAAGTACTGTTCCCAAAGCAGGAAGAAGAGGAATCTCTGTAAGCAAAACAATAGATACTCATTGCTTAGACCTCAGGAGGACTGGAGAAACTCTACCCTTGCCAATCTCTTGCCTTCTCAGATGCACAAGTTTGGGATTATTTTTGCTCTAAGCCCCAAGGTGATGGAAAGGGAGGAAAAATGCTAAATCTCTGTAACTGCATTTCCCTCCTCCTCATTATTCATGGCTCATTTCTCACAACCAGCTCTCCAGCTCTCACTCCTTACTCAATCCTCTACCAGACAGAGACCCTAAGACCCAACTTTTGCAATAAAATATAGTCGTGTACCACATAATGATGTTTTGGTCAGTGATGGATTGCATATGTAATGGTGGTTCAATAAGATTACAATGGAGTTGAAAATTTTCTATTGTCTGGTGACATTGCAGCTGTCATGCCATAAGCTCAATGCATTACTGACATGTTTGTGGTGATGTTGGTATAAACAAATCTACTGCACTGCCAGTCATATAGAATTACAGCACATACAATTGTGGACAGTAACATAATACTTGATGATAAGTGACTACATTATGGACTTATGTATTTACTATTTATCATTATTGTAGAGGGTACTCCTTCTTAATAAAAATGCAGGCCTTCAGGAAGTATTCTAGAAGAAGACATTATCATAGAAGATGACACAGGGAAACCTTCCAGGGGAATAAGATGCGGAGGTGGAAGACAGTGATATTGTCGGTCCTAGTTTTTAACAAAAAAGTTAAAAGTTGTTTTAGAATGAAAAATAGTAAAAAGCAGTTGCTTCTCGGCCTTTTGGCTAAGATCAAGTGAAAAATAGTAAAAAGCGTATTAAATACAGATACAAAAAAAAATTATTTTATTTTTATTTTCTTTGAAACAGAGCCTCACTTTATCCCCCAGGCTAGAGTGCAGTGGTGCAATCTTGGCTCGCTGCAACCTGCACCTCCTGGGTTCAAGCAATTCTCCTACCTCAGTCTCCTGAGTAGCTGGGACTACAGGTGCACATCACCATGCCCAGCTAATGTTTGTACTTTTTGGCAGAGACGAGGTTTCACCTTGTTGGCCAGGCTGGTCTCAAACTTCTGACTTCAAGTAATCTGCCCACCTCAGCCTCCCAAAGTGCTGGGATTACAGGCATGAGACACTACGCCCAGCCAAGAAAATATTTGTGAACAGCTGTACAATGTGTTTTTGTTTTGCACTGTGTTATTACAAAAAAGTCAAAAAGTTGAAAGCATCAAAAACTAAAAAATCATAATAAGCCAAAGTTAATGTATTACTAAAGAAAGTTTTTTTTGTAAATTTAATGTAGCCTACGTGTACAGTAATTTATAAAGTCTACAGTAGTGCACAGTAATGTCCTAGGCCTTCACATTCACCACTCACTCACTGACCCACCCAGAGCAACTTCTACTCCTGTAAGCCCCATTTACAAGCCCTATACAGGTATCCCACTTTTTAAATCTTTCATACTGTACTATTTCTCTGTTTAAATATGTTTAGATACACAAATACCATTGTGCTAAAATTGCCTACAAGATTCAGTGTTCAGAGGGCTCACCAAGCCCTTGCTCCTCAATATACAACTGGACTCTTATTTCTGTCATTTCCAAAGCCCACTTTGTTATCCTGATGTTTTCAGTTGTCCAAAGCAGAAACCAATCTCCATTTGGCTTTAAAAAAAAAAGGCAGGAAGGAGGAAGGGAAATTTATTGGTTTCCATAACAAAAAACTCCAGGGGTAAAGCTCAGAATGGTGACTTCAGGTACTCAAATGACAACTTCATGGATCGGTTACTCCCTCTTCTTTTTAGACCTTCTCTCCTGTGTGTTGCCTTCATTTTTAGGCAAACTTCACCTATGAGGTGGCAAAATGGCTATTGTCCCCAAACACAGCCTTGGAGCTTATTAACCAGCCTGGAAAGAGTGTTTCTCTCCTCCTAGAGTCTTACTGGCCCAAACTGGCCAGTATGTTTAATCCTGGACCATTCATTATTGCCAGGGGCGTGGAATACACTGACAGGCCATACCTAATCATATTTTTACCCATTGGACTGGGATTGACTCAGCCTTTTTGGAGGAAAGGAGGCCCTCCAAGGAATTGGGAAGCCCTTATCCAAGTTGTCCTTTCAGCCTGCATACACCTACTTTTCCAACAGTTAGCTAGTTATCTTTCAGGTTTCAGATGAAATTTCTCCTTCTCAGAGAAGAGGGCACTGACCACCTTACATAATAGAAGAGAGACTCTATTTGCCTTTCCTTAACATACCATCTTGTTTATTTCCTTCATAGCCATGGGTTGCCTTTTCTCCTTCTCCTTCTCCATCTCCTGCTCCTTGTCCTCCATCTCCTTCTTTTTCTACCAGTTTGAGCTGGTTTCTTGTCGCTTTCATAGAAAATATTCATATTTGTGATCAGTAGACAAAGGCTGGTAAGGTTTGCCACAATAACATCTATAAAAATACAGTCATTATTTTTCTTAAAAAAACATAAATGAAAGTACTCGGTTGAGAGAATCTGTTTGCTAGGACTGTGGAAATATTTGTGTACAAGCAGCATGTTATCACATCTCATTTACATGAGTTCTTGGGAGAATAAAACTTCCATGTGAATTAACTTACAGATAGCTGAACTTAGCACTTTAAATGGTCAAAATTTTATCTTCACTATTTTTGAAGATAGGTTTTCGCAAGTGTATGATTCTCTACCTCTTGAAATAGACTATAATGAATATAATTTTACCTGTGTGTGATGGTTCAGGGTCATCTTTAAGATTATTATTACATTGAGCTGTAACACAATGATGTCCTTGGGGGCTTCAGAGACATAATGAAGGTTTTGGTCCCTATATGAAGAGGCCTTAGAGAGTAGCACTTTTAGTCTGTCTCTTTTCCTCCCAAACCCCTTCAGATTTACTGCTCCAGCTCTGCTGTGGGTTTGAGAGAACTGCTAATCCAGTTAACTCTTTAACAGTTAGCAAAATTGTGTCTTGTATGAGGAAAATGTGCCTCGTGTAAATATCTGGGCTTTCTGCTTCCTGTGCTGCAATGCATAAGCTTTAGTGCTATGATTTTGGCTATGAAGAAATCTTTTCCTTCCCTAGTTGCCTGTTTTATCCACTGGACTCTGGCTAATTAGAAGTTGCTGGATCTGTGACCTAGTTAAAGAAGTTTTTCTATAGTTAGAAACACAGGTTGGACTCGTTAGGGTCATGAGATTTCATTTTGTTAAGTCACTTGGAAGCCACTTATTTCTACACTTTGTAGAAATTCTACTAGGTTAATCCAACTCAGACAATGACAGGATCAGCAAACGTTTCTGTAAAGGGCCAGGAAAAAATTCTTTAGGCTTTTTTAGCCAAAAGGCAAAATCAAATATATTGTGTTGGTACTTATATAACAAGAGAGAAAACAAATTTTCATAAATTTTTCATTGATGAAATGATAAGTGTAATAATAATTGAATATCATTCCTGTAATACAACTCTACTAAGAATTGTTTTGGCAGAAAGTAACATTTTGATTAATTGTGGTTCAAACTTAGTGTCCCCTAGCCTCAAATTGGTTGTAAATGCTTATCTGTAAAAGCCACTCTTAACTCACAGGCTGTTCAAAAACAGGTGGCAGACCAGATTTGGCCCACAGGCTGTCTTTTCCCAACCCCTAGACTGTGGCAGTCTAATGTCCCCCCATAACTGTTTTCTCTTCTTCATTTTAGCAATAGAATGCTCTGAATTTTTGCTCAGCACATAGCTGTATTGCTGGGTTCCATAGTTCCAAGACTCTGTTGCAACTAAGTGTGACCCTATCATTAAATGCTGCATAATGGGAGGTTAACAGTCCTCCATTTCTTTCTACTGCCTAGGAAAAGAGTGAGAACTGAAACAGCTTCCTTGGACCCAGAGATAAATGTTCTATTTTGGATATGGTGGAGCTACTTCATCTTGCATCTCTGGACTGCTGTGTAGAAAAAGAAAGAAATGATTGTCTTAAAATTTAAGACCTGTGTTGATGGTTAATATTGAGCATCAACTTTGTTGGATTGAAGGATACAAAGTATCGATCTTGGGTGTGTCTGTGAGGGTGTTGCCAAAGGAGATTAACATTTGAGTCATTGGGCTGGTGAAGGAGTACCCACCCTTAATCTGGTGGGGACAATCAAATCAGCTCCCAGCATAGCTAGAATATAAGCAGGCAGAAACATGTAAATCCATGCATTCATATATATGTGAATCCATATATATATATATATATAATGTGAATCTATATATATAGAACTAATAGAATATATATACACACATATGGAGAAGTCTGACTAATACAGAAATTGATGACAAAGAAATCTAGGGAAGAGGGATGTGGATGGACCTCTCTGGTCAAAAACTGAAAAGATATTTGTATCCCATGTGAGTGCTCACCAACAGGTGACCTCCGCAGAGGAGGATTTTAATAATCAAGTGGGTAGGATTCTATGGACACCACTAGAATCTTTCCCCAGCCACCCCATCACTACCCAATGGGCCCATGAACAAAGTGGCCATGGTGGCAGGGATGGAGGTTACACATGAACTCAGCAACATGGACTTCCAACTCACCAAGGTTGATGTGGTCACAGCCACTGCTGAGTGCCCAATTAGCCAGCAGCAGAGACCAACACCGAGCCATCAATACAGCACCATTCCTCTGGGTGATCAGTCAGCTACCTGATGGCAGATTGATTATAATGGACCTCTTCCATCAAGGAAAAGGCAGAGGTTTGTCCTCACTGGAATAGACACTTACTCCAGATATGGGTTTTCATGTCTTACATGGCAATGCTTCTGCCAAGACTACCATTCATGGACTCATGGAATGCCTTATCCACCATCACGGTATTCCATATAGCATTGCCTCTGACCAAGGCCTTCACTTTACAGCTAAAAGTGCAGCAGTGGGCTCATACTCATGGAATTGGTCTTACCATGTTCCCAATTATCCTGAAGTAGCTGGATTGATAGATTAATGGAATAGCCCTTTGAAGTCACAATTACACTGCCAACTAGGCGACAATACTTTGCAGGGCTGGGGCAAAGTTCTTAAGAAGGCTGTGTATGATTTGAATCAGTATCCAATGTATGGCACTATTTCTCCCATAGCCAGAATTCATGGGTCCAGGAATCAAGGGGTGGAAGTAGAAGTGGCACCACTCACTATCACCCTTAGCGATTTACTAGCAAAATTGTTGCTTCCTGTTCCTGTGACATTATGTTCTGCTGGCCTAGAGGTCTTCATTCCAGAGGGAGGAATGCTGCCACCAGGAGACACAACAATGATTCAATTAAACTGGAAGTTAAGATGCCACCTGGACACTTTGGTCTCCTCCTACCTTTAAGTCAACAGGCTAAGAAGGGAATTACAGTGTTGGCTGGGGTGACTGACCCAGACTATCAAGATGAAATCAGTTTACTACTCCACAACAGAGGTAAGGAAGAGTACGTATAGGATACAGGAGATCTTAGTATTACCATGTCCTGTGATTAAAGTCAATGGAAAACTACAGCAGCCCGATCCAGGAATGAAGGTTTGGGTCACTCCACCAGAAAAAGCAAATGAACAAGGAAAAAACAACAACAACAAAAAACTACCTGCCGAGGTGCTTGCTGAAGGCAAGAGTAACACAGAATGTGTAGTAGAAGAAGGTAGTCATCAATACCAGCTATGACCATGTGACAAGCTGCAGAAATGGGGACTGTAATTGTCATGAGTATTCCCTCTTTCTTTTGCGGGCTGGGCACAGTGGCACACACCTGTAATTCCAGCACTTTGGGAGGCCAAGGTGGGTGGATCACAAGGTCAAGAGATCGAGACCATCCTGGTCAACATGGTGAAACTCCGTCTCTACTAAACATGCAAAAATTAGCTGGGCGTGGTGGTGTGCGCCTGTAGTCCCAGCTACTTGGGAGGCTGAGGCAGGAGAATTGCTTGAACCCAGGAGGCAGTGAGCCGAGGTCATGCTACTGCACTCTAGCCTAGTGCCTGGTGATGGAGTGAGACTGTGTCTCAAACAAAACAAAACAAAACATGTTTGTGCATGTATACATTTGTACTAAGAAAACATCTTCATTTTATTTCCTTTCTCCTTTATCACATGACATAAGATTTATTGACTTTACATCAGCATTCAAATACTGTTAACTTTATGTAATAGTGTTTGAGTTGGAGATTGGTGGGTTTGCTGTTTTATGAAGGATAGTCGTATTCTGTTAGGCATAATTATGACCGTATTGTCCTTGTTTGAAGATTACGTATTATCTCAGGAGATGCATGTGGGTTCATGTTGAAAAAGTGTGGGCTTGAGATGGTTAATACTGAGTATCAACTTGATTAGATTAAAGGATGCAAAGTATTGGTCCTGGCTGTGTCTGTGAGGGTGTTGCCGAAGGAGATTATCATTTGGGTCAGTGAGCTGGGAAAGGCAGACCCACCCTTAATCTGGGTGGGCACAATCTAATCAGCAGCCAGCACAGCTAGAACATAAGCAGGTAGAAAAGTGTAAAAAAGATACTGGCCTAGCCTCACAGCCTACTTCTTTCTCTTGTGCTAGATGCTTCCTGCCCTTGAACATCGGACTCCAAGTTCTTGGTTTTGGAACTCGGACAGGCATTCCGTTCTCCTCAGCCTGCAGATGGCCTATCATGTAAGTTAATATATATAATAATAATATATATATGAATAATTTCATTATTTTTGTTCCTCTAGAGAACTCTAATACAACCTGTATTTGGGGTCTTTTGTAATAACAGCTTAGCTATGCAGACATATATATTACACTCTTTGCAATTATAAGCAAGGTATTTTTTTCCTCCTCTTCCTTCTCTTTTTCCTGCTGCTCCTCTTCATCCTTTTCTTGAATAATATTAATTCAGAATTTTCACTATTTCCAACTAGCCTTACTACTCTGATAATCTAAATGAATGAGGTTTTCCCTCCTTAAGCAAAAACAAATTAAATTCCCCTTTGTAGCTTCGATAAGAATAGTTGAATTTGAATTTAAAAGCTATCTAAGGATTTTGTGTTTCCTAAACAAAGCTAATGAGATGTAGTTTTTGTTTTGTTTTTTTTTTTTTTTGAGACAGAGTTTTGCTCTTGTTACCCAGGCTGGGGGGCAATGGCGCGATCTCAGCTCACTGCAACCTCCGCCTCCTGGGTTCAGGCAATTCTCCTGCCTCAGCCTCCCGAGTAGCTGGGATTACAGGCACACGTCACCATGCCCAGCTAATTTTTTTGTATTTTTAGTTGAGACGGGTTTTCACCATATTGACCAGGATGGTCTCGATCTCTTGATCCACCCACCTTGGCCTCCCAAAGTGCTGGAATTACAGATGTGAGCCACCGCATCTGGCCTGTAGTTGTTTTTTTGTAATGTGTGGGAAGCAAAAAATATGGGATGTATATCTTACTTTGGTTAGTGAAACCTGAAGGCAGATTTTATCTGTTTATTGGGATTAGTATAAAAGACTGGATAATATTATTTGATATTTATTTCTTTCATTGTCAGATGAATTTTTCTTTAATCATATCTAGTTTGAGATGAGGAACTGCTGACTGTCGAGTGTTATACATATATACGTTGTTCAAAATTGAAAATTAAACAAGAAACAAAATAGCACAAATGGTATTTTCTGTGCTATGATTCACTGTAGAAAAGGATATTTATAATGATATTTTTCTTAACTTTTTTTGGTGGGGGGGGTTGGCTATGAGATATATGTTAACTTGCTAAATTCAGACCTCTCCTGCCCCTCAAAGGTTGACATCTCCCAACAAATTTAATGTGCAAGAAGGATCCTGCCCTAGCAATGTCTATCATCACCATAGCTTTCCACCTTTTTCTCTCATACCCAATCTCTACCAGTGTTTCTGAGTAGTAAGGAGTTTGAGGAAACTTTCTCTGCTATTGAAAATCTAGCTCAAGGATGGCAAAAACACAATCCTCGCTTCTCACATCACCACTTCCTGAAACCACTTTCATGGCTGACATTGCTAATCAGTGGCCACAGTATCTCTCTGAGCCTGGACACAGCTTCACAATTCACAAAAATATGTTATTGGCAGCCACAGCTGATTGATCCCAGTTGTTTCTGAATGTGAAACCTACTTTCCAGCTCCAATCTACTTGGTGAAAAAAGCGTGCATTTAGGAGGATATAACCAGTTCACAAATTTTCTTACCAAATAGGATGCTACTAAAGTGCATTATTTGGCCCAGTTTTAGGACCACAAGTGGGTGGCTTCTCTGTCACCTCCAAAAACAAACAAACAAATGTGTGCCATGTTAAAACTTAACCTATTCTTGGCAGCATTTCTACATTCAACCTACAAATACAGGAACACATAGTTTACTTCTCAATCTGGATCCGGAACACTTCAATACTAGTTATTCCCATGCCTTTCTTTTGTGTGTACCCAGTATTTAACCGACAAATATTTGAATGGATGAGCAAATGAATGCTCATGTTTAACAGTTCAAGTAATATTTTTGAATATGTTCTGAATAGAATTTCAAAATTTGGAGAGAAATTAGAAGCACCTATTCCAATGATTTACAAGACAAGGTGCACAGCTTTAAAAAAGTATAGCAAATAGCATAAAATTTTTTATTTCAAAAAGCAAATGTAGGTATTTAATAGTGTAGAAAGGAAATATCTTATTATTGGGGAAGTGTGAAGCTACCACTTCCTGAGTGTGAAGACACATACACAGAGGAGGACAATAGAGGCATAGGATTCTTCTGTTTCCAAAAGTGGGATATGTGTTATAAAATGTTAAGAAATGCTCGTCACTTAACAGATAAACAAATGGACCCAGAGATGTTAACAGACATCCCTAAGGTCACACATCTGCTCTGTGGCAGAGCGTGGACACTGTGTTTCCTGTCTTTGTGTTCAGTGAGGCCAGTATGAGCGATGGCAACAGAATGTTTTAGAATATAGTGTGTTTTGTAATTTTGAGGCATGATAAAACCAACAGATCGGGAGACAATTGCCATTGAAAAGACAGATTCCAGTGAATGCCACTCCACACAATTGGGGCCCCATGGGGAAGCACCAGGGTAGGTCACAAGACAGAGCGGAGCAGGGAATTATGGATAAGAGCCTCTATTGTGGTTTCTATGGGAAGGAATGGAAAAGGCAAAGAAGCAGACCTAGAATTTGCCATTTTGAATCATTTCAGTGGACTCTGGGGTATAGGGGTTGTCCCTACTTGTCTAATACTGTCCTTGGAGTGGTCAGGTCAGGTGGATACTGGCAAGAATGTAAGAGCCCAATAAAATAGGTGGCTAGAAGTGTAAAGTCTGGATTGGCTGGTTTATACTGAAAAGTAAACTCATGGGAGCAGGACTCCTCCCAAAGAGTGGGGAGGGCTGATGGGGGAGGCAGGGAGCCAAGGCAAGGTGACTGAAACATACTACCGAGTTGTCCAGGACAAGGCATGTCCAACATATGCCTATAGGACCAATGTGAAAATATCAAGTTACAGAAGCTAGATACATGTTTACTACGCTGGGATTCATGGTTCAGAGAAGGCATGCTATTAGTTGAAGCAAGAAGGTAGGGAGGGAGAGGGGATGAGGGGAGGGGGATTGAGGAGTACCTGTTTAATGGGTTCAAGTTTCTTTGAAGGTGATGAAAATGTTCCGGAATTAGACAGTGGCTATGGTCGCACATCACTGTGAATATACTAAAACCCACTGAATTGTACATTTGAAGACGATAAACTGTATGTTTTGTGAAATTTTTCTTAATAAAAAAGTTGGAGAAAAGAAAATAGAAAGAAACAAGATACATTGCTTTAGGTTGGAGAATAGCTGTTTTAAGGTAGGGAGAAGATTGCCCCACACACTTCTAGGAAGGAAGCTGTGTTGGAAACAGGTGTTAGAGATGAAGAGGGCAGGTTGGAAGGGAAATTGGACTTTGGGTGGGGGCTGCTGGGGTTAAGTTTGTTCCTGAGATATGTGTGGGAACGTTGGAGATACAGAAAAGTTTAAGTTAGGAAGGAGAAGGGAAAGAAATGTTCAACTTTATAACAATTGTAATGAGATCAGAAACAGGAATGGTGTTTTCATTTATGTTTCCCCAAGAACAACTCTTGACTAATAGACTGTTTCTTCATTTGTCAAAAACCAAGTAAAATTTGTCTGAAGATGAAATATATTTGTGATAACACAATGATATTCTATTTCCTAAACACTGGTTATGTTTGTGTTTGTTGGTTTTTCTTTTTGACATGAGATCATACAAGAACTTCATCAATAAGGATGCTGGTTTCATTTAATGATTAGGCCTTTGCATTTAACTGAAAATGCTAGCCTAACCTAGTTTAGTTACTTCATTGAGCTGCATTCAATAATGGTGTGCTATGAGCCACCAGTTAAAATATAAATTAGCTAGCAATATTGATGTCTTTTTCTATTCTGACAATACACTTGCTTGCCCACCCATGCACAAGCACTCATGTATGCATGAGTGCAAAAACACATGTGCAAAAACAAAACTAAAAGCATTTATCAAAGTCAACTAAACGATTGGTTTCCAAATACCATTCCACAAAATAGCTCTTGTGCAAAGCATAACATTCATATCCAGGTATTTATGGTTTAGTGAGAAAAATGAGGACAACCTAAAAGTACCTAGATTTGAGAAGTGCCCTTTATTCTGAATTAATGTACTTTATTATTTTTATTTAAATTACCTTTTTTTAAAATAAAGATTGCGATCCCAACATTTTAAATCCAAATTTTGATGAAAGATTCTTGGTTTTATGAAATCCTTAACCTGGTTAATGTAACATCTTAAAAATATTTGTGATTCTACATAGAGCCTATGGGTTATCCTATAGAGAAGAAACTCCTGTGAGAACTTGGGATCATTATTAAGAGTTGTTTGCTTGCTTTTGTTGTTTAAGACACCAAGCACAGATAGAACACAGGATTTGAAGTGGAAGAGTAGATCACTTACCATGTAACCTTAGACAAATAATTTCAGGGTTCTGAATCTCAGTTTCCTTATCTAGAAAATGGAAGTAAAAATGCCCATCTCAGAGGCTTGGTCTGAAAATTAATGAGAGAAAATATAGAAAACAGTATTGTCACACTGGCAACACTTGATGACTGTTGCTATTTTCTTTTCGGTTGTGTTTGTGCCATAATGTTTTCTTTCAAACAATAGTTGTCTTAACTCTGTCAAAAAGAACTCTGTTATTAACCATCATATCTTGGTTAGGGGCTGTAAAGCCCAAACAACATTTGGTCATAGTCATAGTGTTTAAAAAGGTATAAGACATCAAACTTCTTTTGTGTGTGTGTGTGACAGAGTCTTCCTCTGTCACCAGGCTGGAGTACAGTGGCACAATCTCAGCTCACTGCAACCTCTGACTCCCTGGTTCAAGCAATTCTCCTGCCTCAGTCTCCCGAGTAGCTGGGATTACAGGCACATGCCAGCACACCCAGCTAATTTTTGTATTTTTAGTAGAGATGGGGTTTCACCATGTTGGCCAGGATGGTCTTGATTTCCTGACCTCATGATCCGCCCGCCTCGGCCTCCCAAAGTGCTGGGATTACAGGCGTAAGCCACCACGCCCAGCCCAAACTTCATTTTTCAGTGATAAAAAGATAAAACTTTAAAATAGAATTTCATAA